GATGGCTTCAAACTAAATATATAGTAAAAGATGACCTTGAATTTGTTCTAGTGTCTCCATCTCCCAGGTGCTGGGGTTAGAGATTTATGCCACAATGCCATCTTATGCAGTGCTGGGAATCAAACCCAAGGCCCTATGTTTCCTAGGCAAGCAACCTGACAACTGATCTGTATTCTGGTGAAACTCTCTTCAAAACTTATTAGAAAAAGGAAACAGACAACTGGGCGTTGGTGGCGCAGGCCTTTAATCCCAGCACTTGGGAGGCAGAGGCAGGCAGATCTCTTTGAGTTCGAGGCCAGCCTGGTCTCCAGAGCAAGTGCCAGGATAGGCTCCAAAGCTACATAGAGAAACCCTGTCTTGAAAAAACAAAGAGAAAAAAGGAAACAGACATTTCTCTCAAAATTATGAATCCACAGCAAACATGGCTAAGCTCCAGGTAATGAGATGAACTGGATCCAGCTTTTTAATTTTTTTTCCTCCTTGCCCTTCCCTTGAATCTATCTGTTAGGGTTTTTTATTGCTGTGTAGAAACACCATGACCTTGATGACCATGGCAACCTTTTTGTTTTGTTTGTTTTGTTTTTCAAGACAGAGTTTCTCTGTGTAACAGCCCTAGTTGTCCTGGAACTAGCTCTCTAAACCAGGCTGGCTTCAAACTCACAGAGGGCCTCCTGCCTCTGACTTCTGGGTGCTGGAATTAAAGGCATGTGCCACCACTGCCCAGTGACCACAGCAACTCTTTTAAAGGAAAACATTTAATTGGTGGCTCACTTACAGTTCAGAGTTTTATCATCATGGTAGGACTTGTCAGTGTGAAGACAGACATGGTTCTAGAGAAGTAGCTTAAGTTCCAAATCTGGCAGGCAACTGCAAGTAAACTGAGATCCTGGGTGGTATCCTGATCATAGGAAACCTCAAAGCCCATCCCCATGGTGACACACTCCAACAAGGCCATTCCTACTGCAACAAAGTCACACCTCCTAATAGTGCCACTCCCTATGAGATTATGTGGACCTACGACATTCAAACTACCACACTATATTGAGGTAGACAAAGTTACATGCACCCAGTGAAAAAACCCATTTCAAAAGAGATTGTGAAACAAATACAACAACAAAAATGCATGTGTGCACTGTCCACAAAGGACAAAAGGCCTCAGAGAAACCCCGAGTGGAAGTCAAGATTATAGAATATTTAACTATGTAAAGAGGTATTGCATTTGTTTAACTATGTAAAGATGTGTTGCTGTTTTACTTTGCCTAAGGTACCTGATTGGTCTAATAAAAAGCTGAACAGCAATAACGAGGGAGGAGATATAGGTGGGTCTTCCCACCTATAGGAAGAATAAGTAGGAGGAGGAATTTAGGATCGAAAGAAAAGGAGATCAGAGGGGCCAGCCAGCCAAAACACACAGAAGAAGCAGGAAAGCAGGACAAACAGAATGAAAGAAAGATAAAAAGCCCTGAGGTAAACGTAGATGAATAGAAACAGGTTAAATTAAGTTAAAAGAACTAGTGGGACAAGCCTAAGCTAAAGCCAAACATTGACAGTAAGTCTCTGTGTCTTTATTTGGAAATTAGTAAGAGACCCAAAGAAAATTCTAAAAGAGAATCCAGAATTTTGCTTTTTTTCCTTACTACTACCTTAGGAAAAAATAGATAATCAAGGAAAGCAAAGATCCTCACAGATAGCGAAGGTGTGCTTTAAAAAGTCTTAAATCATTTTTTAAAATCCCTCCCAAGGGTAAAGATAAGGAAATTTCTTTACTTTGCCCTCCTCACCCTCCTGATCCTCCTGCTCCTCCTCTTCTTTTTGGAGACAGGATCTCACTATGTAGCTCTGGGTGGCCTGGAACTTGCTATCTGAACCAGGTTGAACTCTAATTCACTGAGATCTGCCTGTTTCTACCTCCCCCTCTTGAGCGCTGGGATTAAAGGTGTATGCTACCAGCCCCAGCAAGTAGTGGGAGTTTCCGTCAAGACAAACCCTATACAATTTCAATTGGGAAAAAGTTGGGGAATATTATATTTTCTAAATGTGTACAGCACCCTACTCATTTATTGGGAAATGGCTTTTGGAAGCACATCAGGCTTCCTTTTTCACAAAAGCAATAATCTTTGAACATGACATGGAAAACATCCAATCATCTTTTCTATTCTTATAAAACAGGCACGAAGAACTCTACAGGGGGATATCGAGAGCCTTCATTCACAAGTACCAGGAACATACTGGGAGAAATCTTCAAAAGACAATGTGAATAACACCAGCCATCCTGTTGAGATGACAATAAACAAAACAGACAAGAGCCAGGTATAAAGCTTGTCCTCTGGGACCAGATGTCCTGGGGAATCAAACCTACCATACAAGAATATCTAGAAAAGGGGGGCTGGAGAGATGGCTCAGAGGTTAAGAGCACTGACTGCTCTTCCAGAGGTCCTGAGTTCAATTCCTGGCAACCACATGGTGACTCCCCACCACCTCAAATGAGATCTGGTGCCCTCTGCTGGAATGCAGGAAGAAGACTGTATACATAATAAATAAAATCTTTAAAAAAAAAAAAAAAAGACTATCTAGAAAACGGCTTGTAATCTCTTGCTGCTGTCCTGCTACACCCTACTATGAAGGAAGTCAAATGAGAGAAGATGGAGATTTGTGCAAGATTTTCAGTGCTGTCCAACCGTCTTACTTGGCCATCTAAAATTTCTCTAAATCCATCCGATTTTTTTATAATAGATCTTTGTAGTGCCTTTTGTGGTGTCAAACAACCAGTGTTTGTTCACCTTCACATGAGAACAATATACTTACATGTGCACATTTTTTTTGAAAGTGTTTCTCTGTAGCTTTGGAGCCTGTGGTGGAACTCCATCTGTAGACCAGGCTGGCCTGGAATTCAAGAGATCCGCCTGCCTCTGCCTCCCAAGTGCTGGGACTAAAGTTGTGTGCCACCACTGCCCAGCACATGTGCATAATTTTAAGAAACATTTGGAAAAGATAACTAAAAATCTTGAATTTTGGCATAAATTTGATGCCAATTTAATTTAGGTCAGGTTTTTTTTTTGTTTTTGTTTTTTTGTTTGTTTGGGTTTTTTTGTTTTTTGGGGGAATGTACTGTTAAACTCAGCAGACTACTAGTTTCTTCCAACCCTAAAGCTAAAACTACAGGACTTCTGGAACTGAAGTGATTGGCCTATTTTTGCTGTAATCTGCAACTCTGTCTTCCACCAACTTATTTTGAAACTGTTCTTATGTATGACTTTCATGTGGTGTGTGTATGTGTATATGACTAAAAATTCAAGTAATCTCTTCCACAGTAACATGTCATTCAGGGTAAACTCAGTAAATGTTTTGGGGTCAAGCTCACTCAAATTTGGCTCAGGATAATCTCTTATCTCTTTCTGAGCAAATGTTTCTATCAAGGATTCCTTGAAAAATATGAAGTTAAAATAAATGTGGAGATCCTGACATGGTGATGCAAGCTTGTGATTTTAGCACTTGGGAGACAGAGTCAAGAGAATCCAGAGTTCAAGGTCAATCTTGACTATACAGCAAGTTTCAAGGCCGGCCTAGGATACATGAGACCTTGTCTCAGGATAAATGGATCATTACCTTAGTGGAATGTTATCCCTGAAACCTCATATTTGAAGTTCTATATTTCTATTAGAGAGTTGAGGCAAGAGTGGGATTTTCTCGTCCTACTACAGGATTTAAAACAGTAAAACAGCTTCTGGAAAGCTCATTTTATCTTTCATGAATCAAAAGACAGCAGATTCACTAAAGGGTATTTATCGATGCCCAGCAATAAAATAGAATAGCTTTGTCATGCATGCCATCTGCCAGAAAGTTACACAGTTCCCCTTTGGTTGAGTTACAGCCTTCTTTTAGTATTATTTTTTGTAGTAATATACAATCAATCTTACTTGGATGCTTCAAGGCCAGAGGTCTTCCACTAAGTTTATGCCCAGCCCCAGGTAGACTGAGCTTTAATTATGTTAGAGGCCACATTGCCATATGTACATGGCATCTTACTTGGTTTTCAATTCAATAGTTACTGGCTTTTACCATCTTAAAAAAAAAAAAAAGATTCATAGGAACTACTTGTTTACAGTAGTGACTTCAATTTAAAACATTGCCATTTACTCTTGATTCTGCCTTCTGCCTTAGCTATTTAACATTTTCAGTTCTGTAAGTTTCAACACCACACTTTTCTCCATAACCACGAACACCTTACAGTGGTAGACTCCCCATAAGCATGAAACATTTTTGTATTTTTGACAGGGTTTCTTTATGCAGCCAAGGCTATCCCCCAACCCCGTCCCCCACACACCCGGAATTGGCCTCAGTCCTCCTGCCTCAGCCTTTTGAATACTGACTGTAGTAGGCATGAGCCACCACGCCCAGCTATGAACTTTTAGCACTCAGTTTGGCTGTCCTGGGTCAACTATAGTACTAAAATTAGGTTGGTCCCGTTGTCTTTCGGGGTTTCGTCCTCCTGAACACCACCTCGCCAGGATAAGGTTGGAGTTTGGGTGGGTTAAGGGGTTTCCAGCCATCACTTCCTCTACGGATGTAGGACTTCCGGTCTCCAGGCACTTCCGTCCAGACTCGGAAGTTTCGTCGCTGAGAGAGCGTGAGGGACTCGCGGTGCAGACCCAGGGGCTGAGGGCAGGTGAGCTTTGTAAGGTCACGGAGCTGAGGTGGCGGGTTGCCCAATGGGACCGCCCTCGCACCCTGAGGCAGCTTCGCGTTCCTTAAGCCCCAAGACTTCTCGGGTCGGCGGAGCCCCGTTCATGGCTGACCCGGCGGAAGGCTAGTGCGCCTGCGCCAAGCGCCCGTGCTCTGTCAGAGTCTTCTGGGCGCTGCTCTCGGAGGATGCTGCCGGGCGCCCGAGGACCTGACAGGCTGCCACTGTGGAGGAAAGCCCTGGCTTCCGTTATTGAGGATTCTGGTGGTGCGGGCGTTGGGGGACGGGGTTCGGGGGGTTATATTCCGATTTTTTTTTTCTTTTGAGAGAGGGTCTCATGTACCCCAAGGTCTTGGACCTCACTGTGTATCTGAAGCTGGCTTCGAGCTAGCGTCAGCCCTCTTGCTTTGTCTTAGCTATTTCTGGGATTACATGCACAAGTTGCAATGCCTGACAGTGAATAAATTACCTAATTTTTTTTAAAACAAGGATTCATTGCTGGACGTGGAGCTCACATTTTAGCTCAGGATGACTTTGAACTTGTGACAAACTTCCAGCCTCAGCCTCCGGAGTGCTGGGATTACATGCCTGAACCACCACACCCTGGGATTTTTTTTTTTTTTTTAATAACAAAGACTTTACAGTCCGCATCTGGAGACTGTTAACGTGAATTATTGAATCCAAATTAGGGTGTGATTTAGCCATCCCCAAAGAAGTAGGCTTGTTGAATCAACGGGATTTACGAATGTTAAAGACAGAGCAGATAAAAGGGGGAGATGTGAATGTTCAGGTTCACTGTCCATTGATATTACTTACGTACTCTCTTTTTATGTCTTCTTAGTTTTAATTTTCTGTGTGCTCATGTTATGGGTGCTGTTGTAAACACAGCATAGACTTGGAATTTTTGTTTGTTTTGGTTTGGTTTTTTGAGAGGGTTTTTATGTACTCCTGGTTGTCTTGAAGCTCAATATGTAGACCAGGATAGCCCGAAACTCACAGATTCTCCTGTCTGTGCCTCCAGAGTGCTGAGATTAAAGATGTGGGCCATCACACCTCAATTTCGACAGCTTTATAAAACATTTTTTATTAGGGTCTGTAAAATATTTACAAAGTTAAATTCCTGATGCAGATCTGCCCTGATGTGAAGAACATTCTTCCACAGTGGCCCTCAAATCAAAGGAGGCAGTCATGTTAGCCCACTTCCTCCTTGTTTATTATATGCTGTAGGATTTCCAAGTCCATCATTCCAAGGATGAATGGGGACAGGCAAGTATCCCTGCCCCCATTCATCTTATTTATAAATCAGCTTCATTTTCAGTGCATCTTTGAGAATGTGGTATTTTGCTGTTGTTGTTGTTGTTGTTGTTGCATGAAGAGGACTTTTTATTTGTTCCCGGTTGAGTCATAATGCAAAAGAATCTGTTTCTCTGGAACTCTGCTTCTTTTGATGTTGAAGGAGAAACCTACTCCAGCTTTGGTTACTTGTTTTTGGTAAAGGAGACCACATAAAGCAGCTTGGTGCTGGAACTAGTACACTTTCCTCTCCTCCTCTTCTTCGTTTTCTTCTTTTTTTCCTTCTGTTCTGGGGCCTCCGTTATACTAGGCTAGGACTCTACCACTGAGCTGTTCCTAGCCTGGTAGTAGGGTCTGGTTGTCTGTGCTGGTCTTGAGTGTTTGATTCTTCTACCTCAGCCTCCAAAGAATGTAAGATTACAGACTTGTGGGTCTGTCAGGACTTTGCCTTGTGACTTGCAGATTTATTGTATTTATAATAATTGTGTACTGAGACATTTGTTTGGGCCCTAACCTTTGAAGTCATTCTGACTCAGCAGTCTAATATGTTCATATCAGCAAATCCTCTGGCGGTCAAAATAGTCCAGATCTTCAAGCCCTTTCTTACAACATTCACCTTTTAAAAACTGCAGTACCTCTCACGAGATTACTACTCCCTAACTACTAATCACAGTTGTTTTTTGTTGTTGTTGTTTTCTAGTCAGTTTGCATTACAGAATCTAGAGGGATCTTTTTAGAAAAGTAATATAATCTCTCTCCTTAAAAAAAAAAAAAAATCGACTAAACACTGCCTTGCCGTTTCACTGTGCAGACAATTCTTTTAAATGGCTCCAGAGTTCTAAATGACCTGGCCCTGCATCCTCCCTGATGTATTGCTTTAATAACTACCTGATTGCTCCATTATGTGGCCTTAAACACAATCTAGCTTCTGAGATACTCAGATTTGCTGTTCTTTGCTTGTATGGTCTTCTGTATGGTCATGTGGTTCAATCCCTTACCTGCGTTTGGAATACTACTTTCTTAGCCAACTTTTTTCCATCTTTAACGGAGCCACTGTGCTTATTGTCTTTGTGTTTATCACTATATTTGTACCATGTTATCTGGTTTATTGTGTTTCTTACCACAAGGATAGAAGCTTCTAGAGGGCAGGTATTTTTCTGCTGTGCACTTAGTACCTAGAAATGCCATGCTTTTAGTAGTTGTTTTCTCCATGGTTTTAATTCTTGGCAAATTGTTTTAAGGAACCGTGGTCACTTCATCAAGAGCAATAGGAAACAGTTGAGTGTGATGGTACATAGTGATTTGGGAGAAGCAAAAGATTTGTGAGTTCAAGGCCAGCTTGGGCAACATAGTGAGAGCTCATCTGAAAAAGCAAACAAGGGCGCTTAGGGTTGTGGCTCAGTGAGAATAGTGCTTGCCTAACATGCAGAAAGCCCTGAATTCCATCTCTGGTACCACATAAACCTAGGCATGTCTGATGCCAGCACCAGGAAGGTGATAGTAGGAAGATAAGAAGTTCAAGGTCACCCTCAGCTATAAAATGAGTTCAAGACCAGCCTCAGCTGTCTTAGAGACCCTATCTCAAGGGGCAGGGGACGAAACAAAACAAAAAACCGAGGCCTGATGGTGGTGGCAGAGGTGCACAACTTTAGTCCCAGCACTTGGGAGGCAGAGGCAGGCAGATCTGTGTGAGTTCCAGGACAGTCAGGTTACACACAGAGAAACCCTGTCTTGGGGGAGGGGAGGAGTGGGAAATGGGACGGGACTGGATGGGACTCACAAAACAAAACAAAAGCTAAAACAAGGAAGTCAAAAGGAAAGGAGAGCTAAATATGTAGGTCCAGAGAAAAGTAAACCCAAGTTATTAGGTGCTCATCTTCTAATTATAACAGGATATAAGTAGAATATATGTTTTACAGATCTTGCTTAGTAGTAGAGCCCTTGCCTAGCATGCCTCAGGTCCTGGATTTGATCCCCACCATAAACAACAAAATAAACAAAAAACATAGACGGGTAAAAGTTTGTGGATATTCTGTGAAGGCAAGAATGTTAGGATACAGGGACTCATTCTCCTGATAGAACTATATATATTGGAACAACTATTATGAAAGGATATTTGATACTAGCTATCAAATTTTTAAATGCATATTCCCTTTGGCTTAGCTGTCCCAGAGTGATGGCAGGACTCTTGAGTTTCTGGCAAGGTAACTCCTTGCTCTCCAGCTTGTGGAATTCTAGTAATGGAGTTCTACTTGCATCTTACTCAGTGACTAGAACTTTGCTTCAGGGCACAGCCTTATGAGCAGGGCTCTGCCTTGGCCTATCTATTAATCTGTTTCCTAAAACATTAAGTAGCCCAAGCTGTTTTACTTACCCATGTGTTGGGCTCTGTGATGACTTCTTTTGCTTTTCATTGCTGAAGATTCTATTTTAGTACAGGGGCTCTTAAGTATGTCTTAGAAGTTGCAATGCCTTAGAGTACCACCATCTACCCAAGGCAAAAGCCAAACCAGCCAAGGATACTAATTTTCTGTTTCACCATTTCTATCTAGTTATTCTCCCAAATATTAATTCTGAGCATGTGCACATGTTTGTAATTCCAGCATTTTGGAGCTGGGGCAGGAGGATCGGAAGTTCAAGGCTAGCATATACTATATGGGAGATCTTGTCTCCAAAATAAACTGGGTATGGTGCCATATGTCTGTAATCCTAGCACTTGAGAGGTGGAGGCAGGAGAATCAGGAGGTCAAGACCCAGCCCTAATTACATAGTTTGCGGACAGTAAAGGCAGGGTTACATGAGCCTGTCTTAAAGAAAAAGCAAACAAAGGGATAGTATCCATTATATTTTCACACCTAAAATTTTGAGTTACTCCTTTTTTTTATTCTTTTCCTGATAGGGTCTCATTATATCCCAGGTTGACCACTGACTGCTAGCATTAAAGACATGAGCCACTCTGCTTTGTAAATGCTAGGCAAGCACATTACCAGTTCAGATCTCCAGCCCCAACCATTGTTTTCTTTCTTTCTTTTTTATTTTTAGATTTATTTATTAGGGGTACAATGTTCTGCTTGCATGTATTTGTCTGCATGACAGAAGGGGGCACCAGATCTCACTATAGATGATTGTGAGCCACCATGTAATTGCTTGGAATCAAACTCAGGACCTCTGGAAGAGCAGTCAGTGCTCTTAACCTCTGAGCCACTGCCTGGTTCCACCTTGCCTGTTGAGACAGGGTTGATCACTAAACATGGAGCTCACCAATTGTCAAAACTGGCTAACCAATAAGCTCCAAGATCCTCTTGTCTCCTGTTCCCAGCTTTGGAATTATAGGTTCACACTGTCTCACACTTGTTTTTTTCTGGGGATCTAAACTCAGATCTTCATGTGTGTGCTTAGTAATTGTCTAATGTAGTAAGCCATTTCTTTAATCCCCAAGGGGGAAAAAACTTTGGGTGTGGTAGCTGACAACTGTTATTCCAGCACTTGAGCAGTTGAGGCAGGAGGACTTGCTGTAAGTTTAAGCACTTGAGGCCAGCTTAGTTAGACTACAATATTTGTTTATTAAGTTCTTGTCAGTTTTTCATGTTTTCCTCCCTAGATCCATATTTTGGATTCCTGCTGTCTTATAATGGGTGACATTTTGCCATTAGATGTCATTGGTAGAAGAGTTGACGTTAACGGAGAATTTGCAACAGTGCGTTTTTGTGGTACTGTTCCTCCTGTGGCAGGTAAGCTATAACACTGTGTGTAAACCTTTGAGTCAAATCTGTATAAACCACAGTAGTGCTTTATCATACCAGTTTTGAACTAGATGTAGTGGCACACACCTTTAATCCCAGCACTCAGTCAGAGGCAGGCGGATTTCTTGAGTTCTAGGCCAACTTGCTCTACCTGGCAAATTCCAAGCCAACTGGAACCCAAGTCCTTTGAAAGAGTAGCCATTGTTCTTGACTACTAAACCATCTCTCTAGCCCCATGTCTTAAATTCAATATATAAGTTAGATTACCTTCAACTTGAGGTGGACTTTCTGTCTCTGCAGTGCTGATATTACTGATTTAAGTACCACAGGATTCTGGTTTTCTCTTAGAGGTCATATGATAGAATTTTTATTCTATTTTTTTGCCGTCAGAATTTTTTTTTCAAATTATTTATTTATTTTCATGTTTTGACACAGGGTTTCTCTGTGACTTTGGAGGCTGGCCTGGAACTAGCTCTTGTAGATCAGGCTGGTCTCGAACTTACAGATATCTGCCTGCCTCTGCCCCGAGTTCTGGGATTAAAGGCATGGATGGGCTACCATCGCCAGGCTCCGGCCTCAGACTCTTGAGTGCACCATCACACCCAGCTAGCATTGTTTGTTGCAGGTTTTTGAAGGTGTGTTTTTGTTTTGTTTTGTTTTGTTTTTTAAGCTTCATTAAGGTACCACACCCTAGAGAATCAGAATTGACTCAGTGTGGCTAAATCAGATCATGTTACTATTTTTCAACTTTATCCTTCTACCAGAACTGATAGGAGTGTGTGAGTGTTTGAGTGTGGTATATGACATTCTTTCCTGTTGTGAAATGCTATCCTCTTGAACATTCAGCAGCTGAGACCAGTACAGGATTGGGCCTATGGGACTTGGGGGAGAGGGGCATTGCCCTAGGCTACACTTCTTCCTGAGAGTAGAAGCTTTGCGGTTGCTGGAGTTGGTATGTCTCTCTTTCAATGGCTCCTGCTCCTGTAAGTCACCCCAGTTAAACTTCTTGGTTCCCTAGATAGACTAGGAGTTGTTTCTTTGATCTGTTGTTGGTGCCTATGTGGGGTGAACAGACCCTACATGAGGGAAGTCGGTGAAATATGTTCTAGGAGATGGCAGAAACAGCTAAAGTGGTGCTTACCTGGCCACCCAGCATACACAAGCTTCTGGGTTCTAAACAGAGAGGTAGAAAGAGAGAGAAAGAACTAAATTTATCAACCAGACATTTATTGAAACCTTATGTCACACCAATCATTGTCATCGGTAGACATGAGAGTGAGAGTGTATTTAGATAAGAGGTTGTAAGAATTGTAAGTGAAAGACCCCTGGAGGCTCAGGCCCCCAGGATTTCGGCCCAGGACTGCAGCGACCTCAATCACCAGGCGGAGATAAAGCTTGATGCAAACAGCAGGAGGCTTTATTGCAGTTGTTTAATGAGCTAATCCCATGTTAGCTTGGGCCTTTCATCTACCCATCATGGTGGATGGCTGGGGAAAGACTCTGAGAAGCCACGGGTCCGAGATCTTATAGGGCAGCATAAGGGGAGTGTCTAGGGGTACGCACAGGTTTAGGATTGGTGTGCCTCCAGGCTTGGAGAACTTGCCCTGTGTTGATTGGCCATCTGGTTGTTATGGCCCGTAGGCCTTCCCAGGGCAGTTGCTATGCTCTGCACATCATTGCTGTGCACTTGTCCCTAAAGCATAGCACTACCAGCTGACTTCTGATTGGTTCCTTGCCACGAGGCAGGCATCTGACCTCCTAGTGACCAAGGCAAAGTCAGGCAAGCACGTGTTAGGCTGTTATGGCTGCCGAAATGGGGAGCTGGTCTCTTCATCAGTAGTGTGAGCATTAAGTAATTTAGGATGCTTATTGTAGCTTACTTGTTACTGGGAGGCAGCCCTGCTTAAATTTTGTAGCAAATTTTATCACAAGCAGTTTGATAATTTCTAATTTTTGTTTTCTATTGATGCTTAAGCCCAGGGCCTTATACATGCTAGACAGGTGCTCTGCCACTGAGACATGTCCTCAGCTCTTTAATAATTTTTTCACTTGCTTCATTATTCTTTGTGTCCTTTCATGCATCTGGGTCCCATTCATCCTCCCATCTCTTCATATCCTCCCTCTTCCCTTGCAACTTCCCTACCCCCAAAATAAAATTTAAGAGAAAAGAAAAAAGAAAAATCTCTTCATGGAAGCTGTAGTGAGTCAAACAGCATAACCTTTATCCATAGATCTTTACTTGCAAATATTCATTGTAAAGAGCCATTGGTCTTGTTCGAGGCCTCTAGTTTCTGTTACACTATTGATCCTGGGACTCCTGGATATCCTCTTGTTGCCCTGTGTTGTGGAGATCCTACATCTTTGGATCTGCAGGACCAGCCCCTTCATGTTCTCTCTCATAGATGGGGCGGATGTTGGGGCAAGCCAATTCATAACCCTGGTTCTGGGCCAGAGTAGTTGCAGGGTGAGTCAACCTGCCAGCTCTTCCTGATCCTCAGGACCAGGGTAAGCTCTCCGGCATTCCCCACTATTCATCCTATGTAGCAATGAGCAAGGGGTGGTGCCCTTTCTGCTTTCATGCCCTCAGGGTCGGCTCACTCATACCTATGCCATCAGGGCCAGCGCTACTGTGTTGCCCAGGTGAAGTGCAGGGGCCACTCTGCTGAGTGCTGCAGCTGGTGAGGGGCAGGGACAGCTCTCCCAAATGCCACAACTCCCTCGGCCACACCGTCATATTGGCAGATGGTGGATGGGGCCTGAGCTCCAAGCTCATGTTCTCAGGCAGCTTCACCTGCACCTCTGTCAATAGGGTCAGCTCTACTGTGCTGCCCAAGGAAGTTGCATGGCCTGCTTTCCCAAGTGCTGCCTCCCAAGTTCTGGGATTAAAGACATATACTATGCTGCCACCACCATCACATGGTGTATTGGAAATCTTTTAAAGACATTCATAGGTTACAGACTACAAAGCCCAGAGGCATTGGGGCATTCTAGACATGAGACTGCCTAGCATGGTGTTGAAACCAGCCTCCTTAATAGTTTTGTTTAGGCTAACCTTGCAGTAGCAGGATTCCAGCTATTAGAATAGTGAAACTTTGTTTTGGCTGTGAGCTGTTGGCTACATTTGGAGGCTCTGAGGAGGGTGCCCTCTCTGGGGAATGTAGAGATAGTTAAGAATGACTCAAGTCAACAAATTGCTCAGTGGAACTGGGTAGAATCTCTTGAGTTTCTTGGTCTTTCATCACATAAGTACAGTTAGGTATCTTTAAAAATAAAGTTAGTTATTTCAGGACTTGGTGTGTGCAAGGAACCAAAGAGTGGAAGCAGCAACAAAGCTGATAATGCCGGCAGTATGCATTCTTGTCCTTGGGCAGAATGGGTAAAGGAATGGCACTTGAATGTCTGCAGTGTCCAGTGGTCAGGCTAGCTCTGTGATGAAACAGTTACAGATAGTGTACTTGAAGTAGCTTCTAGCCTATTGGTAAGGTCACTTACCTGGTGATACCTTTGTCAAATTCAATTAAATAGTTCCCCCTAGCCTTGAAGATGGAACCCAAGGCTTCACAAATACTAGGATCCTTTAGTTTGGCTTTCATGCTCAGCAAGTCAATCCAATTATAATATGGTCTCTTGTATTAGTGTATGAGGTAGAATATACTGATCATATGGACTCATTTTATACATAGGCTTCTTTTTTAAGTTAGTTTATTTTGTCTGTGTATATACATGCATGTGGGCACCTATGTCCAACTTGGCTGGAGTTGCTTCTCTCCTTCCACCATGTAAGTCCCAGGGATTCAATACAGGCTTAGTGGCAAGCATCTTGACCCACCATCTGGCCAGCCCTAAACATGCCTGGCTCCTAGACTTCATTTTTTAGAGCAGTTTAAAGTCCACAGCAGAACTGAGGAGAAAGATTGGCAAGCTCCCACATACTTCTTAATTGTACCTGCACAACCTCCTTAAGTGATACCTTGTTGTAGAATATTAGTTTAAGATGTGTTACATTTGTTTGTGCTGTGGAACATTTGTTTAATGATGCAAAGATGTGTTGTGTTCTTTTATGTTGCATGTGTTTAACTCTGTGAAGCTGTGTTACTTTGCCCGCCTAAAACACCTGATTGGTCTAATAAAGAGCTGAATGGTCAATAGTTGGGTAGGAGAGAAAAACAGGTGGAGCTAGCATGCAGTGAGAATAAATGGGAAGAGAAACCTAGGGAAGAAAAAGGAATGGAGGGAGTGGAAGTAGAAGGAGAGGAGGATGCCAGGGGCCAGCCACCCAGCCACACAGCCAGCCACAGAGTGGGAAGGAAAGCAAGATATATAGAATAAAGAGAAGTAAAAGGCCCAGAGGCAAAAGATTGATAGGATAACTTAAAACCTGGCTAGAAACAAGCCAAGTCTGGGCATCCGTAAATAAGAATTAAGTCTGTGTATTTATTTGGGAGCTGGGTGGTGGGTCCCCAAGGAGCAAAGAATAAAAATAACCAACTACATTACCTCCTTCATTGCAGTGGTGTGTACATTTGAGTGTTAATAATCACTGTGTCGCCGGGCGTTGGTGGCGCACACCTTTAATCCCAGCACTCGGGAGGCAGAGGCAGGTGGATCTCTGTGAGTTCGAGACCAGCCTGGTCTACAAGAGCTAGTTCCAGGACAGCCTCCAAAGCCACAAGAGAAACCCTGTCTCGAAAAACAAAAATAAAATAAAATAAAAAAATAGATAATAATAATCACTGTGTCTGCAAATGGCATCACTCTCATGCTTAGTTTACCTTGGGGTTTGTGCTTGGTAGTATTTATTGTATAGGTTAGTCACAAATGTCTAGTAACTTACGTTTCCCATTTTCCCCCAAATGCTTTGGGTTCCAGCTATTTAACCCTTGAACTCCTGTAGCTACTGGTCCTTTTTCCGATGACTCTTATTAGGATCACACAGTATTTAGCTGTGTCTACCTTTTCAGTGTACATTTAAGTTTCCTCTATGTCTTTATGGCCAGGTACTTTTTTTTTTTTTTTTTTTTTTTTTTTTTTTTTTTTTTTTTAAAACTCTCTTGTAGCCCAGACTGACCTTGAATTCCTAATCTGAATGCTGGTGTGCTGGGCATTGAACCCAGAGCTTCGTGCATGCTGGGCAAGCAAGCACTCAACCAACTAAACTACATTCCCAGCTCCTCATCTATTTTTGGTTTTCTTGTTTGTTTATTTATTACTTAAACAACATGAAGCATTTAATTGGGCTTACAGTTTCAAAGGGTTAGTGTCCATGATGGCAGAATAAAGGCATGGTGGTAGGAACAACTGAGAGCTCACATCTTGGTTCTAAAGCAGGAGGCAGAAAGAGAGAGCATACACTGGGAATGGCTTGTCTTTTGAAACCTCAGAGCCCACCCCCCAGAGACACACCTTCAAATCCTTCAAACAATTTCAGCAATAGGGACCAAGTATTCAAGCATAGGAGCCTGTGGGGGCCATTCTTATTCATACCCACATTTTGCCTCCTGCCCCGAAGAGGCTTGTGGCAATAAAATAATGCAAAATGCATTTAGTTCTATTTTAGAAGTCACCTTCGTCTTTATGTCTCAATGTTTAAAAGTCTTAAAATTTCATTCTGAGACTCAAGACAATCTCTTGTTACCTCCTGTAAATCCAAAAGCAAATATCATACTTCTAACATATAATGGCACAGAATACATATTAACCAAATATGACTCTATTCCAAACTGGAGGACACTGAACCGAGCAGGGAAAACTCTAAATACTGTGGCTCCAAGTCTTTTGTCAAAAGGCTTAATGGCTTTGCCCTTCCCACTTTGATACCTATAAGTACAGGTTCTATTCTCTGTTTGCAGCTCTCCCTGATAGATATCCTGTGGCTCTGGCATCTCCATCGTCTTGGGGTCTCCAACACAAATCCAGGCTTTACTTTCCCAGTGGTGAAAGCTCATGGTGGCTGCTAAGGGCTTCCATGAAAGACATCTTCTGCCACCTGCCTGGCTTTAGCAGCTCTCCTTAACTGTAGGGGAAGATTCCACAACCCTTCTACTCCTTTATTGCCCTTCACCAAAGAAATTAGTCTGTTACTTTTTTTTTTTTTTTTTTAAGATTTTATTAAGTATACAGTCTTCTGCCTGCATGTGCCCTGCAGGCCAGAAGAGGGCACCATATGTCATTCAAGGTGGTTGTGAGCCACCATGTGTTTGCTGGAAATTGAACTCAGTACCTCTGGAAGAGCAGTTAGTGCTCGTAAGCTCTGAGCCATCTCTCCAGCCCCTAGTCTGTTACTTTTAAATTTAGCCTCAGGCATGTGAAGACCCAGGGTTGGTGTGTAGGGACTTAATTACTCTTCCACCTTACTTATCAAGGCACTCATTCAGAATGCTCCAGTATGGCGAGTCCTAGGCTAGCTTTCTTTCCACCTTCAAGGCTGGAATTATAGTTAGCATTCCATGCCCACTTGGCTGCTTTAACTACTGAATTACCCAGGCTTTTCAAAATAGTTTTCTTTTTTTTGTTTTTGTTTTTCGAGACGGTTCAAAATATTTTTCTAATTTGTTTTGTGATTTCTTTTTTAACTTAAAGTAATTTAAAATAACATTGCTTAATTTCTAAATATATGAGAATTTGTTTTGTTTTTGAAACAGTGATTCTGTGTATAACTTTGGAGTCTGTCTTGGACCTTGTTTTGTAAACCAGGCTGACCTCTAACTCCCAGAGATCCATCTGCCTCTGCCCCCCCCCCCATTGGAATTAAAGGTGTGTGCCACCACCACCTGGTGAGAATTTTTTTTAAAGATTGTTATTTTGTGTGTAGTTTGCCTGCATTTATGTATTTGTATCTCACATGCACAGTGCCTTCAGAAGCCAGAAACGGGTGCCAGATCCCCTCTAACTGAAGTTCTGGACCGTTGTGAGCTGCCATGTAGGTTCTGAGAACTCAACCTGGGTCTTCTGCAAGAGCAGCCTGTGCTTTTAACCACTGAGCCATCTCTTTGGCCTGATTTATTTTCTTTTTTTTGAAACAGTGTTTAGCTATGTAGTTCAGGCTGGCCTTGAACTTGGAGTGATCTTCTTGCCTATGCTAGATGACAGGCCTGCACCACAACACCTAGACTTTTGAGATTTTCTAGTTAACATTTTGTCATAAGTTCACAGAATCCTCAGACGTTGTGATCAGAGATTTTTGTGAATTTGTATTGTGAATTCCAGAAGGATAAATATATCATTTTAATCTTTGTGTGTACATGTGTGTGTACATTTGTGTGTGAGGGCATGCCACAGTATGCATGTGAGGTCAGAGGATAAACTCAGGTGTTGGTCTTCACCTTCTACCTTGTTTAAAACAGTTTCTCAGGGCTAGAGAGAAACTGGCTCAGAGGTTAAGAGCATTTGCTGCTCTTGCAGAGGACCCAGTTTTGGTCCCCAACACCCATATGATGACTCACTTGTTACTCCAGTTTCAAGGGGATACAATACTCTCTTCATGATCACCTTGGGCATTAGTCATGGTATACAAGCATACATACAGGTACTCACACATGTACATAAATAAATATAAAAAATCTTTAAATTTTTTTTTCTTTTGTTGTTGTCACTGTGTGTGTCAAGGTTCTTTTTGAGTGCTGGGGTTACCTGAGTTAGCTATTTTTAAATGTACAATCACAGATAGCAGATACATTCACTGTTCATCTGTAGAACAGTTTTTTGTCTTTCCAAACTGTAATGCCATACCCAAAAAGCAGTAATTCCTCCTTTCTCCTCCTCTGCCTCTGCAAATTTGATTACTATAGGGAGTCATAAGCAGGATCCTACAGTATTTGTTCCTTTATGACCCACTTGTTTCACTTAGCACTTTATACTTAAAGTTCATTCACACTTCCTTTCCTTCATTTGTATCAGGCATTGACTGTAACATTCCACAATGTGTATGCATGATGTGAAAAGCTAAAATTTTAGGGAATTAGCCAACAAAATGAAAACTACAAAACAGTACAAAAAGAAATTAAAGAAGGAGTTGGGAATGATGGCACAGTCAAGTATTCAGGAGGCAGCTAGAAGGATCTCTGTGAGTTAGAGGCCTGCCTAGTCTACATAGTGAGGTCTAGGCCCGCTAGGACTTCATAGACTGTGTCGCCAAAAAGAAAAAATATATTAGACAGACTTCCTGTGTTTATGGATTGAAAAACTTAATTTTGTTAAAATTTAATATTTATCAGTGGTCAACAGTTTAGTTTTTCCCTATCAAAATCCCTTTGTTTTTATTGTGTGTGTGTACTTGTACGGGTTCCACAGTACATGTTGGAGTTGTTTTTCCTTCTACCATTTAGATGGAAGGGATTGAGCGTCAGGTGCCACTGAAAGACCCTGCCTCAAAAAAACAAGGCGAGAACTGGAGATAGCTGAGCAGTTAAGAGCACTTCCTATTCTTGTAGGGGACTAGAGATTAGTTCTTAGCACTCACATCAGGTGGTTCATAATATCCTGTGACTCCATCTCCAGGAGTCAGACACTTCTGTCCTTCTTGGGCACCTGCAGTCACATAAACAGAACACCAAATACACACACTTGAAAATACATCTTTAAAACAATACAAAAAAGGGAGGGAATCTCCTGAGGAATGACACTTGACTGACCTCTGACCTCCAAATGCATGCTCAGACACGTATACCTGCACACCTGAACATACACATTTGCACATATGCATATACACAGAATTATTGATAATTTGGGTTTTTTATTATTGCCTGTTTGCGTAATGGATTCTTTGTTACCATGCCATTGGATTATTTTTCTGCTTTATTAGTTAGATAGTCATAGTTTTAAAATCTACTTAATGATTTCTCTAAGGCTAAGATATGCTACTCTGACTTAGGAAACCCTAATAATGTTTTTAAGTTTTAGTGTTTTTTTTTTTTTTTTGTTCTAAGATTTACATGTATGAGTGTTTTGCCTGCACATATGTCTATGTAAGGGTGCCAGATCCCCTGGAACTAGAGTTACAGACAGTATTGAGCTGACATGTAGATGCTGGGAATTGAACCTGGGTCCTCCAGAAGGGCAGCCAGTGCTCTTAACTGCTGAGCCGTGTCTTCAGCCCCAGTTTTTAAGTTCTGAGACCCATACAAAAGACCTAGAAGCACTTGAACACTTAAATCCATTTCTCCATCTCTAATTAGTTACTGAATGCTTTCGTTTTTTAAAGTTTGTGTCCAGCAAACTGGCAGCTCTACTGCCCATTTGTCATAATCTTACCCAGGTGTCTGAGCCTCTTGCCTCTTTGCAGGTTTCTCTCTTGGACAGTCTTTTTCTTCGAAGGCTTTCTCTTGGGTTTTTTGGACTGAAAATATCTGTATTTTACCTTCAATTTCTCCTCCATCTGGACGTTTTGTTATGATGGTAGTTACAGGTGTTTAGGGTAGAATTTGCCGTTTTAATCATGTATCATCTTGTGTGATGCAGCTTCCATTACAAATTGTATTTGCTTGCAGGAAAATAGAGTGTCCCTCTCATCTTTTATCACTCATTTCTTTTTGTTTTGCTAGGACTCTGGCTAGGAGTCGAGTGGGACAATCCTAAGAGAGGAAAGCATGATGGCAGCCATGAAGGAACTATGTATTTTAAATGCAGGTAAATATTTCTTATGAATTGGCAAGGTCATAATTAATCATTGAATAATAGGACTGGAGAAGGAGAAGCATTGTTGGATCTGGAATAGTTTGAAAAGATACTTCAGTCAGGTAGTGTATGTCTTTAATCCCAACACTCAGGAGGCAGAGGCAGGTGGATACAATAGTGTGTACAGGTACATGCCCTGCCTAGAGGCAAGAAGAGGAGTGTTGTCTTTTGCTTCCTGCCAAATTTTCTTTCTTTCTTTCTTTCCTTTTTTGTTTGTTTGTTTTGGTTTTTTGAGACAGGGTTTCTCTGTTTAGCTTTGGAGCCTGTCCTGGAACTCCATCTGTAGACCAGGCTGGCCTTGAACTTACAGAGATCCGCCTGTCTCTGCCTCCCGAATGCTGGGACTAAAGGTGAACGTCACTTCCTCCCAGCCCTGCTGAATTTTCTTGAGATAGTACCTATCTCAAGATAGACCTCACTTTTTGTGTAGATTGGCTGGCAGGCAAACACACATGAACTTCCTAGCTCTGCCACACACTCCTACCATAGTTTTGAGATTACAGGTTTATGGGGCTGTGCATTGTGCTGAGGATACTAGCTCTAATGTTTGTACAGCAGTACTCCTACCCACTGAGCCATCCCCCACCCCACCCCCCTTTTTGTTTTAGTCTTGTTGTACAGGCTGGCCTCTAACCTGCTAGATAGCTAAAGCAGGTTCTGAACTTGAGGTCCTCCTGCCTCTACCTCTCAAGTTCTGGGATGATAGGTGTACACCATCATCCCTTGGCTAGCCCTTGTTTTGGACTGGAACTCATTGTGTAGAACAGGCTGGCCTTGAACTCACAGAGATCTATCTGCTTCTGCCTCCTGAGTGCTGGGATTAAAGACCACTATACCTTTCTTTGGTTTCTTTTTCTTTTTTTTTTTTCCTTTTCTTATTATGTATACAGTGTTCTGCCTGCATGTAAGCCTGCACACCAGAAGAGGCCACCGAATCTCATTACAGATGGTTGTGAGCCCCCATGTGGTTGCTGGGAATTGAATTTAGGACCTTTGGAAGAGCCGGTGCTCTTAACCACTGAGCCTTCTCTCCAGCACCTCCCCTTTTTTTTTTTTGAGACAGGGTTTCTCTGTGTAACTTTGGAACCTATCCTGGCACTTGCTCTGTAGATCAGCCTGAACAGAGATCCTCCTGCCTCTGCCTCCTAAGTGCTGGGATTAAAGGCACATGACCACCAACACCCAGCTTTTTCTTTTTTTTTTTTTCCTTCCTTCCTTCCTTCCTTCCTTCCTTCCTTCCTTCCTTCCTTCCTTCCTTCCTTCCTTTTTTTTGTGACTTTGTGTACATCACAAGCTATGAGGTTTTCTGGGCTTCTGAGCACTAGGGGCCAGTGAGGGTACTTATGAGCTGCTCCATCTTCCTCATGGGTTTAGAATTTGTATTTCACTGCAGCACCTTTACATTAATTTAGAATATTAGTGATTTCTATCTAAATTACTGTTAAAAATCAGTGTTATCTTCTCAAGATTTGTCACTGATGAGCATTCATTTGGCTAGCATTTTTCCTCATTTACTAGGCTGTTTGGTTTCCTGAGAAACCTGCTGGGAATGTTTCAAGATTGAGATCTTTGATATATAACAGGTACTGGTTCCACTTTGCATCCCCCTGACACAATTCCACACTCTCCATCTGCCTGCAACCAAAAGTAATAAATATCTCTTTTTGATGGACTCATTACCATTGCTATAAGAAGTGGGAATTTAGGCTAAATGCATGTAATCTCAAAACTATAGAGGCAGGATGATCATGAGTTCTAGGTAGTTGGGGCTGAGTAGGAAAACAGTTTCAGAAAAAGGTCATAAATGTATTTTTATCCTAAAATGTTCATGCCCCTGTGTGTGTGTGTGTGTGTGTGTTTGTGTGTGTGTGTGTGTGTCAGACAAAAAACTGAATAGCAAATCTCTTCTGGGAGGCATAAAATACTATTTAAAAAGTAGTAAGCAGGGGGCTGGAGAAGTGGCTTAGTAGTTAATAGCACATGCTGCTCTTACAGAAAACCTAGGTTCAGTTCCTCGCACACATACCATGGCTCATAACCATCTGTAACTCCAGTTCTGGGGATTCTGGTGCCCTCTTCTGGCTTCATGGACCACTGCACACATGCAGGCAAAACACTCATATACATAAAAAATAAAAACATTAATTAAAAGCAGTAAATAGCTAAGTCTAGAGGCTCGATCCTATAATCCCAGCACTGGAGAGGCCAAGTTAGGAGGATCTTTACAAGTGTGAGATGCATAGGGAATTTCAGACCAGCCTGAGTTATAGAGGGAGACTGTCTCAAAAACACAGAAAACAAAATATATTAACAAAGCAACTATTTGAATTAAATATAGTAATTGTTGGGCATAATGGCACATCCCCATTGTCTTACCTGTTCTGCAGGCTAAAGTAGGAGTATAGAAAATTCAGAGTCTGGGCCTATGAGCTAACTCACCTGGTAAAGGTACTTGCTGCTAAGCTAGATGACCTGAATTAGATTCCTGGGACACACATAAAAGGAGAGAACTATCTTCTGACCTTCACGTCTGTGCCCTGGCACTCATGTGCTCACATAGATATGCAGATGAGTAACTAAGTTATTTTAAAGGTCAAGGCCCTTAGTGAGACCCTGTAGATGTAGATCATGGGTAGAATGTGTAATATGTGTAGGGCCTTGAGTTGAATCCTCAGTAACATACATCTAATAAAAATAGTTTTAAAGTTTTATAATACACATTACTTTGGGGGGGGTTTCATTGTATTTGTTTATTTTTCTTTTCAAGATAGGTTTTCTCTGTGTAGCCTTGGCTGTTGTGGAACTTGCTCTGTAGACCAAGCTGACCTCAAACTCACAGAACTCTGCCTGCCTCTGCCTCTCAAATGCTAGAATTAAAGGCATGTGCCAGCACTATCTGGCCATATTAATATTTCTTGATTAAATAACATAAAGTGATATCTAACTATGTAAGTAATTATTCATTTCCTTTTATTTGAGACAAGGTCTCAGTATGTAGCCTTGTCTGGTCTGGAGCCTGCCTCTGCTTCCTGATATCTGGGATTGACAGGCTTCTGCCACCATGCTCACTGGCAGATGATATTTGTACAGTAATTTCTCTCCCTTCTCAGGCACCCAACAGGAGGCTCCTTTGTTCGTCCAAACAAAGCTAATTTTGGAGTAGATTTTCTTACTGCCCTTAAGAAGCGTTATGCATTAGAAGATGGATCTGATGATGATGGAAAATCATGTTCCTTAATAGTTGGAAGTAAACAAGTACAAACTGTTGGTTTTGAGAATATTACAAAGAAGCAGAGGTAAGAGCTGATGTTAGCAGTCTGGCTTTTAGTCACCAGATGGGATTAAAGTTTTCATTGTGTTGTAATGCTTGCAACTTTCCTTCCACGTTGGTTCATCTTCACACAGTGGCTTGAACTGTGGAGAACACAAGCACTGATTATTCGGGGACATTAAAACCCTCATTTAGCTGAGTATGGTGGTTCATTCATACTGGTAACCCTAAATTTGGGAGGTAGGAGATTCAGGAGTCAGTGATCATCCTTGGTTATGTAGTCAGTTTAAGGCCAACTTGGGCTACATGAAATCCTGTAATTAAAGGGTGTCTGTGTGTCTGTGTGTCTGGGGGGGAGGGGCACTGAAGTGATGGCTCAGTGGTTAAGAACACCTGCTGCTCTTGCAGAGGACCCAGGTTCAGTTCCCAGCATCCATATAACAAAGCAGCTCACAACTACCTATATAATTCCAGTTCCAGGGGATTTGATGCCCTCTTCTGACCTCCACAAGTTCTAGGCATGCAGGTGGTACATATACATACAAGCAGATAAAACATTCATATACATAAAAATAAATGTGTTTTAAAAGGAAAAAAAGAGGAGCTGACAAGATGGCTCAGTGGGTAAAGGTTCATGCCATGAATCTTAGGGACCTGAGTTTGATCCCCAGGACCCACATACGGGTTAAGTAGAGAACTGACTCCACAAAGTTGCCCTGACCTACATTTGGGGATAATGCACTGAAATGAAAATACCACACCTAGCCCAGAAACAGTGACTTCTGTCAGAGTACAAACTACTGGCCTGCATGTATGAATGAGTTTTATGAATGAGTATTAACAAACAGTTCCTTTTAATGATTTAATGTTTCTGAAATACTGAAATGGGCAGTTGCTGTGTTACAAAACAAGGAATTTTCTAGGCATGGTGGCGCACGTTTATAATCCCAGCACTTGGAAGGTGGAGATAGAAGAGCAGGCATTCAAGGCCAATTTAGGCTACATGAGATCCAATCTAAAATACAAAGCAAGTACTTCCTGAAAATTATGATGGACAGGATGTGGACATAGTGGTGTCGAGACTGAATTATTTCATAGTCTGGAAGACATGCAGCTCTCAGAGGTACTAAGTTGGTCACACCTAAGTCATAAATTAGTAGCACCTAAGTCATCATGAAGTTGTTTGGTCCTAACCACGAACAAAATTGGAACTGGGAAATACTTGTTTTGGTATAGGCACCATGAAACATCACTGAAACTCTCGGGGCCTGTTGAATAAGTGTGAGAGCCTCTGCCCTAGAGCCTGTTTCTTATGATTATAATCACCGTTGCCATGCATTTAACTCGTGTTTATCCCTCAACATTGTCAATTTCCTGCTTTTACAAATATTAATTAAAATGAACCAGATGTTCATAAATACTAACTCACTAAGTCATTTGTTATGTTTTAAAAATTATAGCAGAGTATACCTAGTAAAATGGTTTAGCAGTGTGAACTCTAAACATTGTGTAAACCAGTCCCCAGAACATTCCCATCATTTCAAACTAGAGTTCTATCCCCTATAATCACTAATTCCATCTCTTCCTCCTTCCAGTCCTTGTTCTTTCTACCTGTCACTTTATCTGTTCTGGGATCACCAGGTTGGATCCTTGTGCTATATTTATCCCTGTATCTGATCATTTTGATTAGAGTAACATCTTCAAGGTCTCTCCATTTCTGGACTGTCAGAATTTCTTCCCTCTTAAGGCCAAACACTGCTTCTCAAATGTGATATCACATTTGTTTCATCTGTTCTGGACACTTGGGTTGTTTCTACCTTTTGGTTATTATGTGAATAAAGCTACTACAATTAAAATGAGTGCAACAGCATTTTACCAGTGTGAAGTCTGAGGCACCAAGATTTAATCAACTTGCCTAGTACCAGAGGAGGTGGGAAATGGGCCTTGAACACAAATCCTGCATATTTGGAAACACAGCTAAGAGCTCTCACACTCAATTCCTCAGACATGTTCCTAGAGAGGTTCTGTCTGGGGGGGGGCAGGAAGAACGAGTAGCTTCATTGGGGTCTAGTACAACACTAACAGTTTGAAGACAAGTATTCTGGAGCTCTGAGTGCCAATGGAATGGAATCTCACTGCTTCACAACATCCTTTAGAGGGAAGAAGTTACAGGAGCATCTGTATAGCAGAGTGTCACTTACATTACTTCATGGTAGACAATGCAACAGTCAGAAGAGGCACGGAGTTTGGCAGACAGGATGAAGTTCATAGCAGCTGTGGCTGGAGAGTTTGCTGAGGAATGAGGGAGAGCAGGGTGTGCTGGCGAGGGTCAGTGACTACAGCTGCTTCTAATCTATGATGCTTCATTTCATTCTCCTTTGTAATACTTTGCTTCTTAATTTATGTGGTGGATAGTAGCATTTGTTATATTTTTGGTATTTTGTGTAAGGTTTTAAAGGGCCAGTGGATAGCATATGATTTATATGTACATATGAACTATTTTTTTATGCAGCCAATTGAGAGCATTGCAAGACATTTCCCTGTGGAAGTGTGCCGTGAATTGTGCTGGTGAACAAGGAAGAATTGCTGAAGCCTGCCCCAGTATCCTTTTCATTTCCAGCTCATTCCTGAAGCCTGATTTTGGATTTGGTGCCTGTGCCTGACACTATTGGTTGTGTGCCCTTCTTGGGGTATACAATTCAGTTAAGTACATTCCCAGACACTTTTGCCTGCAAGTATAACCAATGAGTATGAAAATTTTTATTATGCTTTAATACGGTTTTATGGTGCTTGGGGAGGAGGCTTTTTATTTATTTATTTTTTTAAAGATAGGGTCTTACTTGGTAGTTCATACTAGCTTTGAACTCACTATGTATCTGAGGGTGGCCTTGAACTCATGTTAGTTCTCCTATCTCAGCTTTGCCCAAGTGCTGGTATTACAATATGAGTCACCATGCTTGGCTCTGAGAGTGGAAGTTTATAGGTGGCCCCCTAGCAAGGGGATAGATTTGGTTAGCATTTTCTTTGTTGTATTGATCTCTGGTTATTTCTCAGTACAGGTGGGATGCCCAGGGTTCCATCAGTTGTCTTTCAAGTGTGAAGGAAGCTATCCAGTAAGGCTGAGAGCTGACGATGCAGGCACATGTGGTAAAGTTGGCAGGTTTAGATTTGCAGACTATGTGTGCCTGCCTTTCTTCTCTGCTCTGTGCTCCTTGTGGGGTTCCCCACTTGTTTCTTCCTGAGAGAGATTCATTTCCAGCCAAAGTCCTGGAGTGGTAAAGCTCTCCATGTTTGTGGAGGGTTTTGTTGTTGTTGTTGTTGTATGTTTTTGAGATAGTGTCTCACACTGTAGCTCAGGCTGGTCTTGAAATTGCTTCAGCCCCTCTGCCCAGCCTTCCTAGTACTGAGATTATTCATCTCAACTGCCACAACTGCCTTGTTTCCATGTTTCATATATGTTTAATGTTCCTACTTATATCATGGGATGTATCAAATTGGACTTTCAATGGAGGCTAACAGGTTGATGTCTCCTGCTTCTCTATACAAGTGACAGTCGTGTCTTAGATTTTTTTCTGTGGAAAAGGTGAATCAGCAGCTGGGTGTGGAGTGCATACCTGTTATCCTCGTACTAAGCAAAGGTAGGAGGATCATGAATTTAAGGTAATTCGCAGCTTCGTAATGAGTTAAGGCCAGCCTGGGCTACATGAGAGCCTGTCTCAAAAATAAATAAAATATTCAGCTGCAGCTGCTGTTCCCAGCTGTGGGTCTCTTCCTCCCTGGGTGAATGCATTCTATCTCTTATGAAAGATTCCTTCTCTCAGCAGAGTGCTTATGTGTCTTCAGCTTCTCTCAGAGACTACTGGAGCACAGTTGGACCCCAGCATGTTTCTCCTTCTCCCTTCCCCCTCTGTTCTCTTGTTTTTCCCTTTTTCCTGCTGTTCTTCCCAGTGGCTCATTTAACACGTTTCTGTCTAATGGCTATCTCAAACAACATGTCCCACAGTGAGACCTCTCCAGCCCACTTGTACCATTTCTTTTTTTAATATTTCCTTTCAAAGATTTATTATGTATACAGTGTTTTGCCTACATTTTTACCTGCAGGCCAGGAGAGGGCACCAGATCTCATTACAGATGGTTGTGGGTCACCATGTGGTTGCTGGGAATTGAACTCAGGACCTCTGGAAGAGCAGCTAGTTCTTAACCGCTGAGCCATCTCTCTAGCCCGCCTTAATATTATTTTGAATCTACTTTTTATATTCCAATCCCAGTTCCCCTTCCCTCCTCTCCTTTCTAACCCCCCCCCCCCCCCACCCCCCCCCTCCCTCCCCCCCCCCCCCCCCCCCAATATCCCATCTGCTCCTCGGAGACGGTAAGGCCTCCCCTAGGAAGTCTACTCAGTCTGTCCCATCATCTCGTCTCGTTGAGGCAGGACCAAGGCACCACCCCCTCCCCACTATGTCTAGGCTGAGAAAGGTATTTTTCCATGTAGAATGGGCTCCACTAAGTCTGTTTGTGTATTAGAGTTAGATCTTGGACCCACTGCCATTGGCCTCATATATTGCTCCAGCCACACTATTGTCACCTATATTCAGGGAATCTTATGCAAGTTTCATAGTTTTCAGACCAGAGTCAGTGATCTCTCACTAGCTCCAGTCAGCTGATTTGTGTGGGTTTCCCCATCATGATTTTGACTCCTTTGTTCATATTATCACCTCTCCCTCACTTTGCTTGTACTCCAGGAGCTTGGTCCAGTAGTTGTGGATTTCTGCATCTGCTTCCATCTGTTTCTGGAAGAGGGTTCTAGCTTCTCTGGGGTTGTGGATTGTAGGCTAGGTTTCTTTTGTTTTTATGTCTGGTATCCATTTATGAGTGTGTAAATATTATATTTGTCTTTCTGGGTCTGGGTTACCTCACTCGGGATTATTTTTCTCTAGTTCTGTTCATTTGCCTGCAAATTTTAGGATGTCATAGTTTCTTACTGCTGAGTAGTGCTCCATTGTGTAAGTGTACCACTTTGTACCATAATTTCTACATCCAGTAAGCAGCAGTACCATGTGCCTGGCCAGCTCTGTCCCTGTTTTCCTCACCCATGTCTGGCAGATACAGTGCTGGCTCTGCTTTCAGCTTGGGGTACTCAGCCTAATACTACTTCTTGCTCTCATGCTGAAGTGGGATCCGAGCTTGCTATGGGGCTGTGCTGCCAAGTTTTATGTCAACTTGATGCAAGCTAGAGGCATCTGAGAGGATGGAGCCTCAATTGGAAAAATGCCTCCATAAGATCAGTCTGTAGGAAGGCCTATAGGGCATTTTCTTAGTGATTGATGGGTGAGGGCCCGGCCGGTTGTGGGTAGTGTCCACCCCTGGGCCTTGGATTCTGGAAGAAAGCAGGCTGAACAAGCCATTAGCAAGCCAGTAAGCAACACTCCTCCATGGCCTCTGCATCAGGATATGTAAGACAAATAAACCCTTTCCTCCCCAAGTTGCTTTTGGTCATGGTGTTTTATCACAGCAATAGAAACCCTAACTAAGACAGGGTACCACTTGTCTCTTTTGTTTCCCTACAGACCTCAGCTCAACTTGACAGCAGAGTGACTTTCCAGAGATCCAGGTCATATCCTGCTAGTCTGTTCCATCCTCTAGTAGTTTCCATTCCCACCAGACTAGTAGGCTTTGAAGCAGCCTGGAGGTCCTTCATAATGTGGTCTGGCCATCAAGGCCTAGGGTGGTGGTTATCAACTTACAGGTTGTGACCCCTTTGGCAATCCTCTGTTTTCAAAAAATATTTACATTATGATTCATAACAGTAGCAAAATTAGTTATGAAGTAACAGTAAAAATAATTTAATGGTTGGATCCACCACAACATGAGGAACTATATTGAAGTTGCAGCATTAGGAAGCTTCTTTGCCCTTGATAACTATTTGTAGAGTAACCATAGTAATACCCACACTTATCAGGTGGGAATGTTAGGCCTTCCATTAGGGACTGTGCTACACTCTGACCCCTTTATAAGCCATCATGCATGTGTGATGGTCACAGAGCTTTGTTCTAAGTTTCTTACCGCTGAGTAGTACTCCATTGTGTAAGTGTACCATAATTTTTTTTTTTTTTGTACCATAATTTCTACATCCAGTAAACAGCAGTACCATGTGCCTGGCCAGCTCTGTCCCTGTTTTCCTCACCCATGTCTGGTAGATAAGAAGCCACGTTGTAGATTTTGAGTTGTCAGGTGATTCTCAGCCTCTTGCCTGTGTTGCTGCTACCCTTGTATTCTCTTCTAGTCTGGTGTTGTTTAGTTCTGTGGGTTTGGGACTGGTGCTCTGGAGTGAAGGGTGGGTGTATGCACATGCTTGTGACTTTAAGGCAGTGCTGAAGGCAAGGCCTGTTGGTCATCTGATGGTGCTCAGTGTATCAGTTGCTGTCTGTCAGGTTTTTTTGTTTTGTTTTGTTTTTGTCTTACAGAAATTTGATTATGACACTTTATTCTCCTTTGGTTATAGATGCTTGTCTCACATTTTGACACATGAAAATGAGTATTTTAGCTTTTGAATGAACCAGGTTAATAGTGTTTCTTTGTTTTAGTTTTACAATGCTAGGGTTGGAACTTGGGGCTTTGGGCATATAGAGAAGCACTCCACCACTGAGCTATATCCAGTCTAACAGATAATTTAAAAGATAATTTAAATTTATAATTTAAAAGTATCTGATTTCCTGAAAAAAATTTCAGACTAGACAGTGAGAATTTAAAATCACCACTCCAGTCAGGCAGTAGTGGTGCACACCTTTAATCCCAGTGTTTAGGAGGCAGAGGCAGGGCCATCTCTGAGTTCAAAGCCAGCATGGTCTACAGAGTGAGTTCCAAGGCTGCACAGAGAAACCCTGTCTCAAGAACAAAACAAACAAAAAAATCCCCATTTCAGAATTAGAATGCTACTAATTCTCTGTCTTTGGGGAGTCTCTTGAAATTACTTTTTCTTAAAATGTACCTTTAGATATTCGAGTTGTAAATTTGTCCAAAAACTTGTTGTCTTCTTGGGATGAAGTGATTCTTATTGCAGAGCAGCTCAACAACCTGGAGTCTCTGGATCTCAGGTATGGACTCCACACTGCCTTCTCTGACAGCCAGCAGATACTTCATGGGAGGCTTTGGCTGAATGGACTTTGCTGAAAGTTCACTTCAGGGCAGTTTTCAAATGGTCCCATGAAGTTCATGAATAAGGAATATAACTGTGTACTGACCAGGTGAGAGGAAGTAGATCTTCATAGCTTAAAGTCTGACTGTGAAAGAGGGACTATGGTACATGTGATCTCAGCAGAGGAGTAGAGGGGTTAATGCTGAACATGCTTGTTTATTTGGAATCAGTGTTTAATTCTTTAGGAATAAATAGTTCATTGGGATATTGCATAATGTGGTTTTAATAAAGTTTTTTTTTAACTTCTTTATTTTGTTTACTCAGGTTACATTTTCTGACACCTTCTCAAATATTTGATTAGTTTAATCTTACAACCTCACTTTCCAAGGGCTCAACTAGACTGATTCATTCCTCCTTCCTCTCCTTCCTTCTGAATGTGCTGGGAACCAAGCCCAGGTTTTTGTGCTTCACACACCCTCTACCACTGAACACACCCCAGTCCTTCTCCCCTTCATTCCTGAGTGCTTCACATAGGCCGGTAACCTTGATAGGCCAAAGCAGGTGCAATAGAGCAGGCAATCAAGCTTGAGGGCATCTCCAAATAGAGTACATGGGTATAATTTAACCCTTAGTGTCTCCTCTTCTGGAATATGGGAGCCCAAGTCAACTTCACTTGTATGAGGAAACCTGAAGCTTCACCTACCTCTATGAGAAAGAAACCCTCTCAAATCTTCAGGTTAAACCCCAGACTGTGTTGGATCTGCCATGTAGAAATAAGTACTTCATATCTCCTTTTTCTTCTCAGTGAAAATAAACTGCAGTTTCCCTCTGACTCACCAACTCCAACTGGAACATTTTCTAATCTGAAGATTTTAGTCCTAAATAAAATGGGAATAACATGGGCTGAGGTAATCATATTTGCTTTATTACCTAGTAATAAATGATTACAGTTTTTCCTGTATGCAGGCTTGTCCCTACAATGGTATGGTTGGTTCATGACACCAAGCTACAGGTGTCCTTGGCATGGTGGCATTTGTTTCTGTCTTTTTCCTGGGCCCCCAATTTTGACAGATCTCCTTCCCTCTTCTGGTGCACACTAATACTGAGACAGAAAAGCCCTTAGCAGTTGAATGGGGGTGGCAGTGAGCTCAAGGGAAAAAATTAAGAACTGATGAGATATTTATGTGCTCAGCATATCCTCCATGTGCCCAAGTGATATCAGAACTAAGAAGATGAGTACCACATACTGCCCTAGGCTTAGACCACTAGCCATTTTGGGTGTCCATCAGCATTCCCAGCTCCCTGTAAGCACTTCTGGGTTCAAAGTGCCAGAAACATGTCTTCCTATAGCCTTTCAATGTGTTCCTTCATCCTCCTGCACCACCACTTGGTGCCTGAGTACAGCTTGTATGACCTGTTCACAAGGAATGGAGTTTCCATGGTGATGTGGCTGAGCATGGCAGACACTGAGTTCAGTTTCCTTTCCAGGTGCTGCGCTGTGCCCCTTCATGGCCAATCCTTGAGGAACTTTACCTCAAATCTAACAATATATCCATTTCAGAAAGGTAATTGCCTTTGCTTCAGTGATTCTATTGCTATTCAGTTATTCTGAATAAAGTTTCATTTAAGTCAGCATTAACTTTTAGGGGGTTTGCAAATATGAGTTGTAGTTATTCTCATTGTATTACAAATTAGATTGTCAACTGAAATGTTATTCAAACCAAAGGAAACTCATCAAAAACACTGAATTACATATTTGAATTTTATTAGCTTTGTATAAATATCTTGGATTCTGAGAGACAACCAAACCAGATATTAGAATTCATTAGTTTTGCATGCATGTATTAAATTCTCTGATTCTTGGAGAGGAGTACAGGCTCCCCCCCCCTTTTTTTTGAGACAGGGCCATCCTGGGTACCTTAGCAAGACCCTGTCTCATAAACTGAGGGCTAAGGGATGAGTGGTGGAGTACTTGCCTAACATGTGCAAGGCCCTGGGTTCATGTGTATGAGTATTTGCCTGAATAGATCTATGTACCACATATGTACAGTGCTCAAGGAGGCACTGATGTCTGGTCCTCTAGGACTGGAATGAGAGGGTTTAAGTTGCCATGTGGGTGCTGGGATTGAATCTCAGTTCTCAGGAAGAGCAGCACAGTGCTCTGAACCACTGAACCATCCCTCTAGCTCCTAAATTCATTCTTTAGTATTGCAAAAATTTTAAAGTAAATGATGAATTTTCTCTTTTGTAATTTATTATTGTGTGTATGTATGTGTATGTGGTGTTTTATGTGTGAATTCAGGGGTGTATGGGTGAAGGACAACCTTTGGGGTTCTGTCCTTCTATTGTAGGCTCCAAGGATTGAATTCAAGTTGTAGACTTGTGCAGCAAGCACTGTTATTCACTGAGCCATCTTGTTAGTCCTATTTATGTTGAGACAAGGTCTTGCACAGCTCCAGTTGGCCTCAAACTAGTTATGTGCCAAGTATGACCTTCAGCCTCTGATCTGCCTCCACCTCCCACTGCTGGGAAGACAGGTATGGGTGGCTGTGTCTGGCAAATGAAGAGTCTTTCATTGGTAGTATCTGCTTAAGGCTATTGTACTATAGTGTATAGACTCATGTTCTCTTAAATAAATATATTGCTGCTTTATCTCCCTTTAGAAAAATAGTATTTTCTCTTTAAAAAAAAATGTGTATCTGTCTGTGTGAGTATTTGCAGGTAACTGAGGAAATCAGAAGAGGGTATCAGGTTTCCTGGAGCTGGAGTTACAGGCAGTTGAAAGCTGCTTGACATAGGTGCTAAGAACAGAACTTGCAAGAGCAGCAAATGCTCTTAAATACTAAATCATATGTCTAGGCCCTCATCTCCCTCTTTTAAAATAAATTGTTTTGGTTTATTTATTTATATATTTATTTAGATTGTGTGATTGAGTGTGTGCATGCGTGTGGGGGTGAGAGAATAATTTGTGAGATCAGTTCTCTCCTTCCACCATGTGGGTTTGGGGATGGAACAAAAGTCATCAGGCTTGGTGGCAAGTGCCTTCACCAGTTGAGTCATCTCTCTGACCCATCATCTCCCTTTTTTTAGACAACATTATTAAATAAGTATGTGAACGGAAAGTCAAGGTTGGGAAAGTTTTGAGTTGGTTAGGACTATAAAGACTGTATTGTATAGAATGGTTTAATTAGTGGCGGCAAGTGCAGCCATTTTTCTTCCATTATCAAAGGCAGGATAGGGACCCTGACTCTGCCAGCATTTCAACACAGCATCCCTTCCTTGGGTTGGCCTTTTTTGGGGGAGGCAAAATCCATCCTAACCCTTTGTAACACCTGCTATACGTATTTTAAGCCTCTGACTTTGAAAACAAGATTAGTCCATACTGAAAAGTTGTACTTTCCATACAGGCCAGTGAACGTCCTGCAGAAAATGAGGTTACTAGACCTTTCCTCTAACCCAGCCATTGATGAAAGCCAGCTGTGCCTCATAGCATACCTGCCCAGGTAATCCCTTAAAGTTTGCCTGTTGAAGATCCATGTAATTTTATCTTTTTTTGTTTGTTTGTTTTTCAAGACAGGGTCTCTGTGTAACACCTCTGGCTGTACTGCAACTCACTTTGTAGCCCGAGCTAGCCTTGAAATCAAAGAACTCTACCTGCCTCTGCCTCTCGAGTGCTGGGATTAAAAGTGTGTGCCACCACCACCTGTAGATCCATATCATTTTTAGTGAATGAACTGTAATTATGTTAAATATATATATTTTGAGTAGATACAAAATTTAGTTCCTAAACTGAGCAAGTCCCTTGAGGAATTTCAACTTGAACTCATCTAGAGAATATACTTGTCCCTCATGTGTTATTGTGGACTAGGTATCAGGTAATCTGTAGCTGCAAACTTAGTCCTGGTGACACCTACGTCTACATTTGTCTTGGGGAAGTCAGGCCATATACCTTTTTTGAGACCCACTTAGCACCTGACAGAACAGGAGGCACTCCATAATCTTAGAGGGCTGTGTGGGAGCACAAATCAGTGTCAACCTTCCTTCCAGACCTTGTGTTCAGATAGGATGGAAGGAAAAGACTTGCTAGTCTAGTCTAGTAGATATAGAATACTTTAGTGTATCCTATGTAATTAAATCTAACATTTTAATTTCAGACTAGAACACCTACTCATTTCTGACATTGGACTTTCTTCTATACATTTCCCAGATGCTGGAATTGGTAAATAAGATTAGTAATGTCCCTCCCTCCTGTGTTAGCTGTTTCTTTTACTCCTATTGTTTCATTTTTATTGTTCTAGGGTGCAAAACATCCATGTTCCCGTCCTTGCAGTACCTGGTAGTCAATGACAACCAAATATCAGAAGTAAGAGCTGCCCCAATGTACAGGGCACAATACTGCTTTGTCTCTGTTTGCACACAGAAGTTTGAAGGTTCCTCTGTCAAAACAGTTAAACTAGGGGCTTAGAGAGATGGCTACTCAGAACTGTTTGTAACTCCAGTTCGAGGAGACAAATGCCCTGTTCTGGCCTCCTTGCTTACTGCACACATATGCACAGACCAGACAGACATGCAGACAAAATGTCCATACACATGAAATAAAAACAAATCTTAAAAAACATTAAACCAAAAGCAAAATGCTTCCTCAGAGTGAAACTTGTTAGGGGTAGAGTTAGATGTAGAATATCACTGAGTTCACATGGGTGGGCATTGGTATCTAATCCACCTTGTACCTCAGATGAGAGCTAGGCAATTTTACTTTTATGTGCTAGGCCAAGTAATCTGAAATGTGTCCTGACACATGTTGCTTTTGCTTTTTGTTGCTTCAGTGGTCATTTATCAATGAGCTAGATAAATTACAGAGCCTACAGGCTCTGTCCTGCACTAGAAACCCCTTGTGTGAAGAAGACAAAGCAGAAGAGATCATCATTGCCAAGATTGGTCAGCTGAAGACCCTGAACAGATGTCAGGTGAGCACTAGGACCCTAACCATGCCCTTTAGTTTCTTTCTGAAGAGGAAGTCTCTCAACTTCTGGACTCAGCATTCTTTCTGCTTCAGCCATCAGAGTTAGTTAGGACTACAGGTGTGCCATGGAACTAGGCTTCAATTTTAGTTTTTTAAGACTAGAAGACAAAAATTGTAAATTACATTCAGAGGTTATAAAGTGATAACCAGTGCATTATGTTTATTGGGATTCTTTGCCAAGTCCTTGGAAGGAAGAGGGTTATACTTAGGTCAGTGCCAGATCAGTGTTACTTTGCTGCCTGAACAATGACCATTTAAGGGGTGGTAGGAGAGTGGTAGGCACTTTATCCTGTATCCTTGGAAAGAAGGCAGAAAGATCACAGGCCCAGAACATGTCTCTTCTCTCCTTGTTCCTCTCAAGAGTGAGGCTATGAGGACTAAGCACACTTGAATTTTCCTAAAGGAAGCTAGCTGTTCTAGCCCATACCAAGAAAGGTGAACTGAGGCACCTGGTGCAGATATTATGATGAAAATTACAAAATGGAGGTGGAATGCTGGAGATATGGCTCAGTGGTTAAGAGCATTTGTTGTTCTTACAGAGGACCCACAACCCACATAATGAATAACAGCATCTATAACTCCAGTTCCCAGGGGTCTAATGCCCTCTTCTTGCCTCCTCAGATACCACAGGCATACTACAGTGCAATATATAAATTCAGCAAAAATATTCACAAAGCTAATCTTTTTTAAAAAGAAAATTTCAAAAAACTGGAATTTAAAGAATTAAATTACATGTATTTGTTTGTGGGGAGAGAGGGTCATATGTACCAGAGGTCATATGAAGATCAGAAGACAACTTGGCAGGTTTGTTTTCCACTTTTACCATGTGGATCTCAGGAATTAAACAAGGGTCATTAGGCTCTGCAGCAAGTGCTTCAACTGTTGGCCATCTTGCTGGTCCTGGATATTTTGTAAAAGAATGCAAATTCTTGAGGATACAAGTTTGTTTCAGGGTTATATAAGGACTGGCCTTGCTTGAATTAAAATTTACCTTGAAATTTGTTTTTGAGATGAGAGTCTCTAGCCCCGGCTGCCTTTGAACTCCATGCAGTTCTGCATTAGCTGTCTTTAAGATGATGCATTTCTGTTTCACATCAACACAGATTCTTCCAGAGGAAAGGCGTGGAGCTGAGCTTGATTACCAAAAAACCTTTGGAAATGAATGGAAAAGGGCTGGTGGACATCCGGATCCAGACAAAAACAGGCCAAATGCAGAGTTTCTGTCAGCCCATCCTAGATACCAGCTTCTCTGCTGCAGTACGTCCAGGTAGCCCGTGGGGACTCCAGCTGGAACAGGGCCCTGATGTGGTAGTTCAGGAAGGCTCAGTGTGTTGTCTTTTCTGCTTTGGGGGCTATCTGTTCCCTTTTTGAAGGGGCTGTGGGCATTTTTCTGGCATCACATCAGTGAGTTGAAAACAGACAGTAAATTGGAAGTATTCCCCAGAGACCCTCAGTTTCTGGTTGTGGGTAGCCCTTTTGCAAAAGTTGGTGCTACTCCAGGTCATCTCAAGTGCTGGTGTTTTTTAATGCTCCTAGCATGGCAAGTTCACACATAAACTGTATTATTCTTCCCAAGTCCCATCCTGAGGTCTTGTCCTGTGTTGTTTGGTACTTGGTGTTTACAGTGTGCCTTTAGCACACTAGCTAGCTAGGCCTCAGGCTTTGAAGCACAGGATTGGGCATTATGTCCCAATGTACTTTGTTTTGACTTTGTCATTTCATCATTTCATGGTTCACTTTTAGGCCATTTTTCTTTTCACATTTCCAATGCAAGCAGCTCACTGCATAAATGCTTCAACTGGAATATTATCTCAGGAAGACAAATTGCCTGTGGGAATTGCTTTCAAATTACTCCATTAGCTGGCTGTTCTAGGTGAATTCTGAGTCACTTGAGGATGTGTGTGTGTGGTGTGTGTGTGTGTGTGGTGTGTGTGTGTGTGTGTGGTGTGTGTGTGTGTGATGTGTGTGTGAGTGTGTGTGTGGTGTGTGTGGTGTGTGTATGTGTGTGTGTGTGTTGTGTGTGTGTGTGTGTGTGTGTGTGTGTGTGTGGTGTGTGTGTGTGTCTGTATGTGTGTGTGTGTGTGTGTGTGTGGTGTCCCTAGCCCCGGATACAAATTTGAAATACAAATTTCAAACTTGTATCCTCCAATTTCCTGGCTGTTCTAGGTGAATTCTGAGTCACTTGAGGGCGGGGAAGGGAAGGTTCTAAGCAGCTGGCAGGTGCATGTAGTTCAGCTTCTTAATGGCATGTGTATACAAAGAAACCAATACCACTTGACCAAGGGCAGCAGGGAACGACAGTAGTTCAGCCTTTCCTGCAGTTTCATTTACCTTTAGTTCACCTAAGCCCAAACATTAAATGGAGAATTCCAGAAATCGAAAACTCATTGTTTAATTGCATACCATTCTGAGCAGTGCAGTGTACAAGACTGCCCCTGTCTAGCATTCCATGCCGCATGTGCTGCCTGCCCTGAGTCACTCAGTGACTCAGCATACAGACTACCAAGGTGTCACAGTACTTGTGACAAGTGTTGCGACTTGAAAATACTCCAAACACAGATGAATCCAGTGCCATGATTCTTAAAATCCAAAGAGAAGCTGTGAAACAGACTTACTAAAGCATGAAAGGAAAGATGTTCTGAAAGAACAGGTTCACATAACTTCCATCACAGCACCTTGGTGTGGTTGTTAGCTTCATATAGTGTCTAATGTATGATCATAAGTATGCGTTACTTTAAAGACATAGAAATAGGGCTTATTTAATGTTATTCGGGTTCACATATCCACTGAGGTCTTAGGGTGTGACTCCACGGATAAGGGAAGCTGCTGCCTGTGTTGCAGGTGCAGGAACTGGTCTGTAGCAGGACTAAACACTTGACTGGCTAAAACCTGATGGGGTCCTATGACTTCTGTCCAGATCATACCTAGTTTCTCTCAGGATCCTAAGGAAAGGGCATTTTCAAAACTGAAACCAAGTTAAAAGTTCAAAGGTTTTGAAAGTATGGAGCATACAGTCACAGAGATGATCTTCCTTGGGAGTGTCTATTGTTTCTCTCTCCTAATCACCCATAGCAGTTTTGTAGGAGGCGGCTAATCCAAATGTAATTGATCAGTGATACTGGGTTGATCCTGAGAGGCGCTTTGGATCTCAACACTAACATTGTTTCTCTACTGTGGCCTCTAGCTTATTGTTCATCCCTTTTTATTTCTTCTTAAACAAACAGAATATGGTGCACCTGAAGATGAGGAACTCAAACCACAGCAGCCATTCATGCTCAAAAATCAGCTACTATGTAAGTATCCATTCATATACCTGCTTTGTACTGGGGTCTTGGGAGTGAAGTACATGGTGATGATTTGCTTGATAGGGAAGAATTAAGTTTCTCTTGGGGCAGTGGTTCTCAACCTTCCTAATGTTGCAACCCATTAGTACAGTTCCTCACATTATGGTGACTCCCAACCATAAAATTATTTCATTGCTACTTCATAACTGTAATTTTGCTACTGGTATGAATCATAATGTTAGTACCTGTTTTGTGGTGGTTTCAGGCAACCCCTGTCAAAGGATAGTTCAAGACAATCCCCCCCCCACACACACACCCAATTGAGAACCACTGTCTTAGTGAGTAATGATCTCAGACTCACCCAGTTTGTGTTAGGCATTCAACCACTTCCATGCTTCAGACTCTGAATAGCCTTCTAGGCGTAGGACAGAGAAAAGTAGTGAATCATGCTGTAATGTGCAATTCTGTGCTGTGTATTACATACTGAACCTAGCTAAACTGTCAGGAAGCAGTATGGAGGGAAAGAAAAGGTGATAGAATGGTAGGTTAGCTGTTTGAGATATGATCTTGTTATATAAATCCAAGCTGCCTTGTACTCATTCTCCTCTATAGCCTCCCCAGTTCTGGGACAATGATATCTTTTTGACTTTTTGCTTTTTGTTTTGAGACATCTCATAGCTGGCATGTATTATCTAGGCTGGATTTGAATTTGTGACAAACCTACAACCGCCTTTCAAAATGGATTATAGCCTGGAATTACAGGTGTGCACCATCACACCTAGCTTCATGGAAATATTAATAGAAAATTTTAACATCATTAAGACCTGTTTATGAGCAATGAGCCAAGTTGTGTTAAACTGCTGTATTATCTTGGCCTGCACGTTTTTACTTATTGGAGGTCTTGTGTATACAAAATATGTGCTCTACCTCAGAGACAGTCCCAGTTCTACATGCTGTAAATACCTGCTATGGTGGTTATTAATTTGTTTCCCTTTTTCCTTAAAGCACTGAAGATCAAATGCTCAAACCAACATGAACAGAAAGTATTAGAAAAGCAGTTGCCAGGTAAGAGCACACCTGTCTCTGCTGTCCAAGTACCTGTAAAGCACTGGCTTAGCGTAGAGCTAGGTGGAATGTTAGCTTTTAGTTTCTATAGACCTCAGAACTTAAGATGATTTCATTAGTGCTTAATCTAAAACATAACAAAGTTCCAGTCTCCGGTATGCCATCAGCTTATCCGGAAAACGGTTTTACTAAAAATTTGTGCGCTCCCGTGCCTTTGGTGATGGGTTTCTTTTTGTTTTGAGACAGGGTCTTATTGTGTCACTATGGCTGCCTTGAGCTCAGAAACCTGCCTCCCAAGTGCTTGGGTAAAGGCATTTGCCACCACACCTGTGCCATGTGATAGTGTGTCCAGCTACAGGTGTGAGGACTTGAATGCTTGTTCCCTTAAAGGAATTACTTCCCATGCCTATATATTTAAGCTCCCAGACTAATTTGTTTCCGGCTTTTCTGAGTTGATTTCCTAATCATGAGGAGTCAGTGCTTTTAAACAACTTGGGGAGAAATTTTTTTTTTTTTTCAAAATCCTTTGTAAAACATTTGTACTACTAGAACTGAGTTAATATTAGGAAAATAAGTGCTTTTGGATAAATATAATTGACCTTAGGCTTGCACTCGAAGAATCAGCCTATTTTTTTTTTTTTTTTTTTTTAGCATGACACAATTCTGTGAATTCTCAAGATTGACTTGAGCCAAAGCTAAATGCTGGTGGGTTAGATTTAAAGCCAGGGGTACTTGAAGAAATGGAAACATGACTCTGACTGATTCCAGTAAATATATTTCCCTGTTTGCCTACCAGTGCAGTGAATTCATTAATTTTACATCTCTGTTCATCAGACAAAACAAGTTTGCCCAGGATACTTCTCATGGAAGGCTAGTTGCAATCAAGAGTATTTTCCTGAATAACTATCCATTTAGAGCCAGTTTCTCTCTTTTTAAATTACTGTGGCATGTAATGACAAATTACCAGTGTACATTATTTTTTTTTTCTTGTTGCTCACAAAAATACACAACCTAAGCAATGTAAGGATGTTAATATCAGGAAAGTCACTGGTGGGAATGTTGCAGTAGTCACATCATTTCCATATCATGGAAGCAAAGTTATGCTGACAGTTCAACCTGCTTTTTCCCTTTCCCGTCCTTATTCAGTCTGGGACCCAGCCTAATCCTCTAGACACAGCAAATTAGATCAGGCACATTCAGGGTAGTATGGCTGTCGCAGTGGGTCACAAACAAGAAGAGGCTAGTTTTATTCTAAAATAGAGAAGATTTATTATCACAAGTTGCATAAAAACACAGCTTTTATAAAAAACAATTCTTATAGAAAAGTAATTGACTACATTGTGATATTTGTGGGACCACCACACTATTGCTGTACTTTCAGCTAAAGCTTCAGAGAAACTAATATTCTTAATCAAAATATCCGCTATGTACCACAACCTGTCTTTGGAAAGAAGTTCCTAGTGTGTTCTGAATAAATCAGAGCATTTGTTTTTCTGAGTTACCTTCCCATACCTGGTCATATGTGTGCACATCCTGATGGTGACTGGATGCTCGTGCTGGGAGGGACCTCATCAACCACTTAAATCTGTACTTTCTTCTGGAGGGAAAAATAAGGCTGAGAGGTGTCCTCAAGGCCCCACTCATGGGATCTTCAGCAACCCATTAGGAAGTTATCACAAAGGCTTATATTTTTCCTCCTCAGTGAGATGATTATTTCTGGTTACTCAGACTGAGGAAGAAATAGTAAGTGCTACTGAAATGGTATGACACATCTCTGTCAAGACCACTTGGGTCAAACATTGGCTCCATTTCCCAGTTTGCCAAAAGAATCAACTGGTTGAATGATTTAAGCCTTCATCACTTAGTATCTTAGGTAAACCAATGCTAAGAAAGGACAGATCATGCTGTCTCACCTGAGTGTTTCTACACACAGTCATCATTTGAGAGAAATGGATTTTCCTTTTCTTTGATAGATTCCATGACAGTTCAAAAGGTAAAGGGACTGCTGTCACGTCTTCTCAAAGTTCCTGTGTCAGAACTTCTGTTGTCCTATGAAAGTCCCAAGGTAAGTTGCTAGGCAAAAACACAAAACTAAGCTAAGCTTAGTTCTCCACAGTACCATGAGCCATACGTACCAGATTCTAAATGGAGGCAGCATTTTGACTTCTCAAGCTACCTGACATTGGAGGGCAGCATGTATAACATGCATCATTAGATCTGTCTTACTCACTCGACACTTTGTTCTAATTTTAGATGCCAGGCAGAGAAATTGAGCTAGAAAATGACCTACAGTCATTACAGTTTTATTCTGTGGAGAATGGAGATTGTCTACTAGTGCGATGGTAACAATCCAACTGGAATGTTGTACACACCAGAAACAAAAACTTCACCTTCACAAAGGATGTATGTTTTGTTGGGAAAGGACCATTTGGTTGTATATTAATAGAATAATAAAGGCTTTGATTACTAGTGACTTTTCTGCTTGTGTTTTCACAGCTTACTGCTTACTGCATTCCATTATGTGAAAATGTAAATATGAAGTAGAAACAATAGTCTAGATATGAGTAGAGTTAACATCTGCTGTGGACTGCTTAACTATTTGAAAAAGTTTACTGTAGTGATTTGGTTGGTCATTCTGAGAAATGTCCCTTAAACTGGGGAAACACATCTTTTCTACTCTGTACAATATACTTTCCCCTACATTATACCTACATGGAACCTATCTTCCACATATTACCACCTCCTTAAGCTTAGGTTAACAGCAGGCAAGGCAGAGTACCTTCCCTACTTCCCTGTGACACTGAACCCTGAGGTGTTTATATTTTTACTCATACTCACAAAAACAGTTTAGTGAGCGTGCTGAGACATTCATGATTTACATTAAATGGTAAAAGAAACATGGTACTTATGTAAATAAACATCTTTAAATGCAAGATCCCAAACTTAAGGTTACAGCATTTCCTTTTCAAGGCCAGTTTGCCCATGTCAGAGATCCACAAACTGGTATTTCCAGCAACCTACACTTTGGTATGTGTGGCCCCAGCGCCACACAGCATCTTTGTAGGTTCTTTCTGGCCTAATTAAGCTATACAGAGCTATTTTATAATTCTGATTGAGATTCAAATGGAGTTATTACAACTTTTTAAATTTGGCCATGTTTAACCAAAAATGATAATGATGAATTACTAATTAGTTACAGTCATCAGGAGTTAGTTAGGAATATTTTTTATAAAATAATTTGGTATTAAATAATCTTCCAATCTATAAATAAAAACTTATGCTACAGTATCAGCTGATTAAGATCTGTGCAAACACTGGTAATATACTGCTTATAGCTCAATACCAGCCACAGGGTCTCCTCAGACTTACAGTCCCTGGTCTTTGGGGATTACAGCACTTTTGCTTCACACTGACAAGGATCCCCACACAATTCCTTCAGTTCCCACAGTCTGCTCAGCTCTTGTGGTGAGTATTGCGGAGAAGACAGCATGCCTGTCTCACAGGTTTTCTCACACAGCCACAGGGTGTCCTGTTGAAATGAAATGAAAGACAGAATAAGGAAACAATACATGTGGGACAGACACTTCAATGTACTCTACCAAGCTAGGCCAACTCATGAGATTTGGGGATGGGGATGGCTCCCAATTAGAGTTGGTCGTAAAGCAGTGGCAGCAGTGCTGACAGGAAGCCTGCAACTCTGTAAATCACTTCATTTAAGTATCAAATGCTGTAAGAGCAACGTTGAATAATTCTTCCCGTCACTATACTGTAAGAACAGATGTCCAAGACTCCTGACCTGAGTCCCAAGTACCAATCTGCTCATATATGAAGAAACACATTGAATCTGAGAACACAAATAAATCCTGGCTAAAATCTGAAAATAGGATTCCTTCCCCCCCCCCCCAGTACAGGGTTTCTCTGTGTAACAGCCCTAAAACTCACAAGGATCTACCTACCTCTGCTTCCCATGTGCTAGGATTAAAGGTATGCACCACCATTGCCCAGCCCTGAAAACCTTTTAAAACCATGACAATTCTGATGGGCCTAGGGGCTGCTGGAACCAGCATGTGTCTAGAGGGTATTTGGTGATCCCTATCTCTCAAAAACACATCTAGAATGAGGGGCTTACAGTGGCAGCAGAGTGGGCCTGATGCCTTGGTACAATGGAAGAGAACAAAGCTTTCTGTCCAAGAGGCTCTTCTGCTTCAGAAGGCCCGAGTCAACAATGTAAAGTATTTAAAAATAACAGTACCCCATAGGACAGGACAAAGTGAACATCCTCTGTATGACTGTTACAGTCCAGAGACATAATAACACACCGACAAGCTCCATAAACAGCCTTTGGAAACTACAGGTCACAATGCTCAGATTCACTGAGAGGATGGAAAGTGTGATGCAGCACCAGGACTCAGACTGAGCTGACTGGGTATGTATTCCTGTTCCCAAGTGAGAGAGTGTGGATGTGTGGCTCTAAATGGCAGGCACTGCATGTCCTGTTCTCTGTATCTTTTACAGCCAATGTAAAAGGTACAAGAATCCAGAAGTCAGTACAAGTAAGGCAAAAAAGCCTGTTCCTCCTGCCCCCAAGTTTCCTACCTTCAGTTTTGGTCTTTGCATAAACATTTTCACCTCTGGCTCCTTACAAATAAAATACCGGGAAAAGTTTGCTGTCAGAGGAGTTGAGAGGTCTCACTGTCATGGACCAGAAACTCAAGTCAATGGATTTTAACTGTAAAACTGTAAGGAATTTCTGATGAAATCTAAAGACCTAATTCCTTTTTGTGGGTAAGGAACTTTCATTCATAGCATTTCCTTTCGGTTTAAACTTAGACAACTGTTCTGAAGAATAATGACGTACAGTGTTGCAACTTCAGAGCACAGGGGGATGCCTGAAGGCTTTCATTTCTTATGCCTAGAGTTGGATGCACAATATGTAAGTTCACTTGCATACCTCCAAGAGCCCTGAAGCCAACACCCCTGTACCCACTTACCTGGTGTCTTTTAGGTCCTATGGCTGCCATCCAAATGCCCATGCTGACATCTTCACCCTACTCATGGTCAAATGTAAACTTTTTAATGTTTTTGTAACGACAAGGCCATATGTAGATTAAGCCAAACAGATGTACAAGAGCAAGCTACAGATGGGAGACAGGGAGCACACAGATCTAATAACTGGGCACGCTTGGTCCCTATAGCCAGGTCAGGAGGAAGAACGCACTTCTTTAGCTTTTTTCTTATAGCAGAAGTGTTTATATTCCTCCAGAGAATACACTTTACAAACGAAGACTAAAAGCAGTATAAACAGGCTCGAATATAGGAACAGACATCATGGCTTGAGTCTGAGAGGTGGCAGGAACACATCCCTGACCTTTAGAGAGTGATTCCTGCAAAGAAAGGACAACCGTGGTAAGCTGGCTCTGCTTCAGGGACATCTCAGGACATTGGACTGGATGAGTAATTTTGTTACCTGATAGGTCTTCAACCTTCCGGAGTTGCCTGCCAGCCAGTCAACAATATCCTTGGAGATCACGTACCCTGACCCACATGCAAAAGCAGGGTAGGCTGGGCTGGGGTATTCCAGCTCCTGCCACTTTCCAGTTCTGTCCACTGCCCAATTCAACCTGAAACTGAGATGTTACAAAGGTGATGACTGGCCACATCCATCTACTAGATTCCTTTGATCATTATGAAGGGACGAGCTTGTAGAGCAGTGAAAAAATTCTTGCATCTAAGGAAAAGAATTATTTACCGAATGGTACTTTATACAGATTAGTTAAGTAAGCTCTCAGTTCCCTAATGGAAGCTAAGAGAAGCTCACCCTGTGTTTCAGTACATATTCAAACGAAACCAAACCCACCAAATCACTAATCTTGCAGTGTTGCTGAAGTAGCAAAGACAATAATGGCTATGGAGATATGTCTTATATGATTATAACAAAAGCCACACAATAGCTTCAGAGGACCATGCATTTCTAAAACCACATCTTTGACTCTTGGCTAATAAGCCTGAGATTTTTCAATAGAATTACCACCCTGCCCCTGCCAAATTACCTCTGATTATAATGACAGCAAACTAATCCAACATAGTTAAGAAAGTTCACAACATTTTCCTTGTGGAAAAATAACTTGCAAATTTCATTCTAAATTAATTACACTTAGGTATGCTGAAAGTCAATGGCTGTCCATGGTTCACTTACTTTCCCCACCAAAAGTTAGGCCCATCTAGATTCTTCTGAGCAATTCTATTGAACACAGCTTCTAAGTCTATGTAACAGTCATCATCTGTCTTCAGCAGCAAACTGAAGCTGGTGGTTTCCACAGTCCTGTTGACAGAAAAAGGGATATGCAAGTAAGCACAACCCTGGAAGAGCACACACTATGCCTGTATAGCTGTGCACCCAGAGAACACTATCACTGTGGCCATCAACTCTGGTTGGTAATGGGGGTTCTCACCTGACCAAATGGTATGATAGAGAAGAATGAGTCCCAGTCATTCTCCATGTCAGCTGCCAGACCTACCTGTCATCTATACCCTGTCCCATGTGTGCCTAGTTATAAAGTCCTAGATCATGTATTAGGCCTGAAGCTCTCACTGAGAATACCATAGAACAAGGTGTGTTATGAAATGGGCCAGGTGAGGTGGGAAGCAAAGAGGTGGAGCTCTGGGTCAGCCAAGAGATACTAAGTGAGACTGTCTCAAAACTTTTAAAACAAACAAAAAAAATAGACATATCATGGGTTAAAACATGACTTATAACATGCAAACATATTTTTCTTTGGAACCAATTTCCAGCATTTAAATTACAATAAACAACCTCTGGAAGAACAGGAGGGTTACTTACTTCATTTCTCTAGACACCAAAACTTCATGGCCTCAAACAGGGCAAAACCAGCTCCCTACCTCACTGCTGGTCCCTGCGCATCTGTTCTTCAACATTCCAATCCCAGTTCCCTTTCCCCCCTTTCCTCACCCTCCTGTAACTGTTCCTCAGAAAGGGTAAGGCCTCCCCTAGGAAGTCTACTAAGTCTGTCACATCATCTTGTTGAGGCAGGCCAAGGCACCTTTCCTCCCACACACCCCTGCATCTAGGCTGGGCAAGGTATCTCTCCATATAGAATGGGCTGCACTAAGTCAGTTTGTGCATTAGTGTTAGATCTGCACATCTGTTCCAAGTATAGACTTGTCACGGGACCAGCCAGAACTTACTATATTGTCCAAGCTGGCCTCTAACTCACAAAATCCACCTGCCTCTGCCTTTGGAATAGTGGGACTAAAAGTCCCATCCACCAAGCTCAGCCTTTTAAGTTATTTTTAACAGCCTAACATACATACAGTATTTGCCAATCAAAAATAAGCTTTTGTTATAAAGACATTTAGATCACTGGTGATTCTACTCAGGAAATAAAGCCAAATAATTAAGCACTGATTCCTCCCTTCCATCCCCAATGTTTCCTTCCTTCACACAACACATGCTGAAAAACAGGGTGGAGGGTGATGTGGGCTGTGAGGAGGCAGGCCTGAAAATAGCCCTGATGAGGTGAGGAAAACAGAAAACAATGGGAGAAGTATGTTAAGAACAGGACAGGGAAAACAAAAGGATTTGTTAGAAATTCTAGTGCTCCTACCCCATCTAAGTCCTGACTTCCCTCCTTGAACTCCTCATGCTGGCCTCATCTATACTTGGAACTCTGAGGGACAAGCCTTTGTTTTTGTTTTTTTGCTTTGCTAGCAGGGTTTCTCTGTGTAGCCCTGGAACTTGATAAATAGACCAGCTTGGCCTCAAACTCAAGAGATCCACCTGCCTTTGCCTCCCAAGTTCTGGGATTAAAGTTGCACCACCACCACCACCCAACTGTGACAGGCTCCCAATATATTGCTGTCTAAATGCAGTCCTGGTATTCCAGACGTCTCTGACTTCTACCCACAGAGGACCCCAAAATGACAACAATTAGCCCCAGTCTATAGATCATGACTCTAAAAACCATATCCAAAGTGCCCTTGTAAACTTCCCACCTGAGAAGGAAGTGAAGAAAGAGATCTGGTAGGCCTTTCCAAGAAAAAAGCCCTTGATAAGTATTCAAAAGATAAGGCAAAGTTGTAAAATCCCAGGTCAGGCAAGGGTGAGACAGACAACTCCAGGGAGTTAGTACCTCGGTCCTGTGAGAGCAAGGTGCACTTCTGCAAGTCAGCACAGCCACAATAACACCAGCTTTGCATGTTAAAAATTCTAACATACTGTCACAAATGCAGAATACAACCAAGATTTAAGAGTCTAGAAGTTAGGAGAGTTAATTTCATTGAGCATATGTAAAAGTTTGTAAAGCAGACAAGTATTTGTTGGTTTTTAGAACCTTGCCATGTTGTGAAAGCTGGCCTTAAACTTAGACTCAAAGGAGCCTTCCGTCTCAGCCTCTGTGCAGCTGGGACAAAATTCATGCACCACAGCATCTATCCGAATGCAAGGAGTTTGGAAGTTGATGGAGTAGAGACTGGATATTTAAAGATGGATATTTAGTTGAGCAGAATTCAGATTAGTAACTTAGTCTGACTGTAACTGGAATTGGAGTGGCTAGGTAGGCACAAAACTAAAAAAGGACCCTTTCCAGACTCACTGATTTCATACAAAGCTAGGTGAGACACAGTGTGTGGGAATGACTCCAAAGGAATTAATTTTTGTTTTGTTGGTTTTGACCACTTAATGCCATTCACACTGTGGATTTATCTGATCATCCAAATAAGAAAGCAACAACACATTAGAAGATGTCTTTAAAGGAACCAGGAGGTGCTGAAGAATTGGCTCAGCAGTCAGGACTAAGTACCGCTCTTCCAGAGGACCCACCCATTTGGTTCCTGGTACCCATATAGGGCAGCTCACAAGTGCTTATAAACTCATTTCCAGAGATCTAATGCCTTCTGGCCACCAAAGGCACACACACTCACAAAGCAGACAGACAGACACATCCACATGAGTAATTTTTAAAAAACCTTAAAATTAAAAAGATATTGTTTTTAAAGAATCTGTGATATATCAGGTCACACCCCAGATGACCAGTCTTTTAAATTTTGAAAACTCAATGGTTTAATGTTTCTACATCAAAATAACAACAAAGCAAATTTTAGCTACCCAAAATCTGCACAACCTACCATCTATAAAAGTTCAGTAATTTTGCAGGAACATTCCTGTAAGTATCCACAACATCTACGAAGACAATGTCGTCATAGATGCTGCTCTCCTCCTGCAGTAAGGCATCTTCTACTCGCAGATCCTGTATGTGGTCTGAAAGTCTCTGGGGCCTCGAATGAAGGCTTCGTAACAGTGCATCTCCTTCTGAAAAGGAAAAGCTGACTGCTGGAGAAAACAGTACTGCATGCTCAGGATCCAGATGCAGTGGAGCACATGTTCATTAGGATCTTCAGGTGGTATAGAGTTACAGCTCAGTGAAGCCTACGTGTGATACGACATTAGAGATATTATCTTACATGGGCACCACAGTGTTCCCTGCAGCACTGTTTGCTATGCTGGGAAACAACAAAACTGGAACCAATAGAAGAGTCCAACTCTGCTTTACTTGAATAACAGAATACAATACCTTAAAAAGTAAGCTTTTGGGTTTTGTTTTGGAGACAGGTTGTTGCAACAAAGCCCAGAATGGCTTTGAAGTCAGAATTTTCCTACAGCCTCTTAAGTGTTAGCACTTCATGCATACAACTTTGTACCCAGCTCAATAAGGAATTTTCAACTTGAAAAGATGACCTTTCTCAGCATATTATAAAACAAGGTTAGCTACACTGAGTTTGCTTTTGCATTAGACAACTTACCCTGAACAGTGTAGATAAAGCCACCTGCAACTCCCTCCACGCCTTCCATGAATTCATGAGGCAGTGTCCCTTCCCCAGCCTGAAAGGAGTCAGAACAGAAGTGCTCAGGCATTTCATGACTAACAGTGGATGTACTACAATACAGAGCTGAATCAGCAGATGCCCAAGGTGCCTGCCCTACAGCAGATACTGACGTCATGGATTTTTATTCATTCTTTTTACTTTCTTTTTTTTTGGGGGGGGGGATTCAAGACAGTTTCTTTGTGTACCCTTGGCTGTCCTCAAACTCACAGAGATATGCCTGCCTCTGCCTCCTGAGTGCTGTGATCAAAGGCATGTGCCACCACCACCTGGCCTACTTTATTTCTTTATTTTTACTTCATGTGCATAGATATTTTGTATGTGTGTATGTCTGTTTAACACCTGAACCTGCATGCAGTGCAGTACCATCAGCGGTCAGAAGAGAGCATTAGACCACGAGGCAGGAACCACTATGTAGGTGCTGGGACCCAAGTGTAGGAGTGTAGGTCCCTGGAATAGTGTGGGAGATTGAGTTAAGACCACCCCCCTCTCCCATATTTGAATATTTGGTTCCCAGTTGGTGGGACTGTTTGTAAAGGGTTAGGAGGTGTGGTCTTGTTGGAGGAGATCTGTTACTGGGGTGGGCTTTGAAGTTTCAAAAGGCCATTCACAGTTAGCTTATGGATCAAGATGGAAGCTCTCAACTACTGTTTCAGCACCAAACCAGCCTGCCTGCCCACTGCCAGACTCCACAGCACAGTGGTCATGGACTCTGACCACCGGGAACCATGAGCCTTTCTTTTATAAGATGCCTTGGTCTTGCCTTATCATGGCAACAGAAAAATGAAGATAAGTAGCCAGCACTCTTAACCACTAAGACATCTTTCCAGCCCTTATGCCATGGATTTAAAGCATCAAGATGACTCTGGCCCAGTGCTCAAAATTCCAATTTAGATATAAATGTTCTTATAGTTATAACCACAATAGTATTTATCACTTTAAAAACATTAAAGAATTACCACTTTTTTCTCACAAAAAAAATTCTCATGAATTTGATAAGCTCTTAGTGCATCTTAGGACCATGCAGAGAAAAGCTTCTTTAAGTCACCATCTGTTCCCAGATGGGCAAGGTGGTGCACAACTTTAATCCCAGTACTTGGGAGGCAGAGGCAGGTGGATTTGGATTTGAATTCAAGGCCAGCCTGATCTACAGAAGTTCCAGGATAGCTAGGGTACACATAGAAACTCTGTTTTCAGAAACCAGGCAAACAAAAAACATTATCTGTTCCCAACAAAATCAGATGGAGACTAATTTCTTACTGCTGTTGGAAGACCTAGAACTTAACTGTCGACAACAGTCCTGCCTCTAAAGATTAGAGGCACTTTTCATCAGTATGTTGTGCTCCAACATGTCTACCTTCCAGAGCTCTTCCCTAGCTGCTAGGGCTGAAGCTAACTGTCTAAAGCAGTCATCAGTACTTCCACTGTATTTCTGGTATGGACTCCTCTTGTCAGGACACTGTCACTTTAAGCAGATCTCAGTAGAGAAGGCCTCTACACAGCACCATTTTAAGGCCACTAAAGAGTATTTGGAGGTCACCAAGAATAACATGTATCAATTTAAAATACAGTTTGTAGCTGATTTAGATTTCAACTCTGGTTCCATAATTGTGGTATACTTTTTTTTCTTGCTGCAAACTGCATGAGGCTTCATCGAGCTAACATGGGTCTTTCACCCACCAGCCATGGCGGATGGCTAGCAAAGACAGCTTGAAGGGGCTACATGGAGATCTTGTAGGGCAGTGTAAGGGGAGTGTCTAGGGGCACGCACAGGCTCAGGATTGGTGTGCCTCCAGGCTTGGAGGGCTTGCCCTGTGTTGATTGGCCAACTGGTTGTTATGGCCCATAGGCCCTCCCAGGGTGGTTGCTATGCTCTGCGTGTCATTGCTGTGTGCTTGTCTGTAAAGCACACCCAGAGCCGTAAAGCATATGTGGTATACTTTTTAAATTTTTTTTAAACTGCAATATGTTATTTATTTTGGTTTGTTTAGAACTCAACAATATTCTAATATTCATTGTGTTCTTGTTTGATTCTGTTGTTGTGATAAACATTCCGACCAAAAGCAGCTTCCATGAGGAAAAGGTTTATTGGCTTATACTTTGAGGGAAGTTCATAGCAGAAATTAAAGCATGCACTTAAGAGGCAGGCCTGCTAACTAATCCATGCAGCATTACCTATAACCAGGAAATTCGGTCACAGTCAAAGGAATACAGCAGACATCAGAGAGGAATGCTGCTGGATGGGTCACGCACATCTTTTCTATACAGCCCGGGAACACCTATCCAGAGAACTGTGCCACTCACAGTGGAATGGGCCCTCTTTATCAATGAACAATCAAGATAGTCCCCCACAGGCCACATCCTTTCTCAGATGACTCCAGGCTGTACCAATGACAGTTAAAGCTAACTAGGATTCCTTTATTAACTTTCTCAAAGGTCGCAGCCTAGCTGTAAATTTTTCTGACATCATTACTGACAAGGAGCAGACTTGGTGAAATCTCTTCTGGCTAAGGGGGCTTGCCATGTCCCCCTTTCTTCTTCGGTTACCTGAATATTTAAGCTGTCTCTCACCCTCCACAGCTAGTTTTCCTTCAGAGCAGATCATTTGTCTTTAGATTTTTAACCAAGTCTTCAACTTACAAGGAAACTTATTTCTTTAGTATAACAAGTCAAAGACTACAGAATTTTGGTATATCCTAGATTTCTTTATGTTTCACAAACAGAAAGTAGCATATTAAAGGCACTTGTCCTGAAAATAATAAAAGAAAAAATTATGATCACTTCCATAAAATTCTCTATCTTAAATAATGGATAAAATACTGTATATGGCCAACAAGGCTGATATAAGTACATGTGACTTTGTGGGTCCATTTGTTTCATATATTTTCTTTCGTTTAAACACTTTAAAATTACATTTATTTATTTATTTGTGGGTATGTCTATTGAATTGAGGCCATCAGGCTCCACATCCCACACTTTTACCTTCTAAGGCACCCTGCCATTCCTTGACTTACCTTCTCCCTGACTATGGATGTGATGGAATAACATGCCTGCCTTTCAGTGGGTGTCCAAGAAATGCTTTCTGAATATGTAATAACTCACATGACACTCATTTCAAAACCAGGAATTATTTCATCAAGAGATTATTGAACTTCTGCCTTTAAATGTCAAGTGTCTTCCTATTCATTAGACTAAGTACCAAGGGGGAATTGGGAAGTTGTTTGCAACACCACCACAGCACACCTCTTGCTTATTAAGTCTGTCTATACCTTTGCTATGCTATGTTTGAGAAATTTACTAACCTAGATTTGCTTTAAATCTGAGGAAATCTTTACTAAATGAGAAATATAATGAGAAATTCCAGAGTTGCTTCAAAATAAAACAAAAGCAAGTACTCTCTCGCTCTTTCTCTCCCTTTAAAGACAGCATGATGCTATCAATGTTGCCCAGGCTAACCCTGAACTCTGGGCTAAAGCAATCTTCTAGCTTTAGCTTGACATGGAGCTGGGACTCCAGGCACAGGACATTGTGCTCAGCTCCATAGTTTGGTATATTAACTAACATTTTTCTATCAAGGTAAGAGAGCCAACTATAGAAGAAGTGTTTCTTTTCTTCCCTTCTTATTCTGTAGCTAGCTGGTCTCAAGTTCAGGACAATCCTGATATTTCAGTGTCCTGAGTGCTGACAACACAGGTATAAACTACTATACTCAGCTATGAACAGATGTTTCTAAAAAATGCTCACTAAAAAACTTTCAAGAAATAAAATGCCATACTTTAAAATGTACCAATCTTAAGGCAAAATTACATTATCATTAATATTGGAGTTACAGGATCATGCAGCTGCTCATCCTCACTATGGTGAAGTGACTCAGTGATACTTTCTACTGTGTATGTTCAAAACCACTGTTCGACACTGCCTTCGATAAAAGTGAATTCTAAAGTGTTTATGCATATAAGACAGTTGTTTCTAACCAACCCAAACAAACAAAGGACAGCTTACTGTAATGACTCTGAGAACACCCCCTCCATCATTCACTGTCACTCTGTGTAGGTTTCTGGACACGAGGCCATGGAGATCTTGGCTTTCCCACACGATTGTACCTTCAAAGCTCTTTAGGGGGGAAATGATAGTGGATCAATTTGTTTATTCTTGCCACTTAGGTTCTGAGTAAGTATTTATGTAAAACTTTAGAAAAAGAAATGTCATCCCCCCCCCCCAAACACATCAGTTAAAATTTTAGGCCACAGCTTGAACATTTCATTGTTAGCATGGTAGTGTATGTCCTCAATTATTTCTTCTGGACACATCTAGAAAAACAGTCATTCTGAGTTCATGGTGTTTGTAGATGTTGCCTGCTAGTTCCTGCTATATCAATTTCCTAATGTTGCTACAACTTTTAGAGCTGTTCTTTCTAACTTGGGTGTAACATGCCACTTGGCTGACACTTGATTTATAGCTGATGTTTGCTGATCAAATAGCTACTGTAACAATGGAATATTTTGGTAAAAATGTTTCTTTCCCCTAATACTTCATTTAAAATAAATTCCCGGAGGTGAAATTACTGGGAAAAGTGAGAAGTGTTTATGTATTTATTTGGTATAAACTATCAAATTGTTTTTCAATAGTCATTTTTACTAATTTATAAGATCATTAGCAAAGCCTGAGAATGCCAACTGCATTGTACTCTACTATAAAATTTAGAAAAAGTAAAAAAAAGCTCAAGTTAATGTAATTTTTTAAAAATATTTATCACTTGCCTATACATTGAATATTAGAAATAAAAACAGAATAGCCCTTATCTTTAAATACTACCAACATGTGGCCACAGGCTCACAAATTGGAAAAAAAAAATGACACTTTGGCATGATTTGGGGTAGTTATTATGCAGAAGGAACTTCAAATTACCACAAAAGCAGAAAAGTCTTGAAGTAGTCTGGGTCAGAAAATCGGGCAGCAGCAGCAGCAGCACAACACCTTCAGAATCATAAGCATTTCACAGGCTGTAGCACCAGGCCAAAACGAGGAGTGGTCAAAGTAGACCAGATGCTTCTCTGCCACCATGGTGCTATGAACCCTGGCCTTTGCTTGGAAGTGGGAAACACTGGAGGTTGTCACCAGAGTAGCAGAGACTGGTAGGAAGAGAAGAACTAGCTGCTGTGCAGTCCTGGTGAGTCTGAACAACACAGTGATACCCAGGGAACTGCCTGTAGGTTGAACTATAATCCCTCTTTTGCAGACGAGACATCATGTTCCAATCTCTGAGAAGAGCTTAAGAGTGAAGTTTAAGTAGTGACCTGTACAATCCTCCAACAATCTGCCACTGACTACCACACAAAAAACAAGCACAGAGAACAATCTTGACAATGCAGCAATATGTAGGGGAGAAAGATTGAGGTATAGACTACCTAATCACATGCCTCCTGGAAGAAACATCACTTCAAAATACTCATTTTTTATTGCTATGATCAAGTTCATTGCCAAAATCAAGTACTATTATTTCAGCCTGACATTCCAGGTCAGGGGTAATGGTCATTAAGGTCACTTTTATGAGCCAACATCATAAAAGATAAATAAACTGACAATGGTCCACAGTGTCAGTCACTGGGAATCTGATCATTGCTGTATGCTGGATGAGATGCCTTGGGTCAGTCATACACCCATCTCCTAACAACAGTCTTTTGCCCTTGGTATGCTGTACTTTCTTCTAAAACTCTAACATCAGTAAAATGTGGACGATGTGAGAACACCTGAGAATTAGAATGGGCAAAGCCCTTGATTCTGGTTTAGGTGGTTTAAGAAAATCCTAGACCCAAGATTGAAAATATAGGCGATGACAATGGTTGGAAGACAACACCATTTCAATGACCAGAATCAGCTGGCACATCTGGAATTCATTACAGACACTAGGCAGCAATGAATGAAATGTCCAGGTATGTTGAGTAAAATAAAGCAGGTAGCCTTGGCTACACAGGAGATATGGAGCCAAACCAAAAGGAAAGGTATCTGTGAAAACTACACCTTGAACCTACAAACAGAGAAGTATGGAAACCATTCTCTGTTCAACCCATTCAAATGATGTTTGGCACTCCCAATGGATTGAATGCTCCCCCATCAATAAAGAAACTGGGATTAAAAGTGTGCCTCATCATACCTGGCAATATTGTGGGATATTTTGATCAATCTTTGACACTCCCAAGATTGCCAATAAAGTTTACCTTGAATCACAGAAGCGGTTGCAAAAGTGACCAGTTATTTCCTGTCTCTCTCCTTCCTAGATCCAAAAGAACTGAGAATCTTTCTAAGCCCTTCCTTACTACTTCCTATGCTACTCTATATGTCCTGGGTCCTCCAAATACTCTAAGGCTAATTTTGGTCAGCTAGTAGCTAGCTCATCTCTCTGATTCAAGGTAAACTTTATTGGGAGTGTCAGAGTGCAATCAAAATATCTTACAACAGGCACTTTAAAAAAATTCTTCAAATAAGTAAAATTGAACTTCCAAAAGATCTGTCTATTAAGCCCTAATACTACCTTTGTCACTAAGACAGTCATACAGTTTTCAACTTCAAGTTAACCATGGCAACAAGCACTTTTAGAAAAACATGTCTATGAAGTTCTGTTGGTATAACTGCACATTTTAGTGCAGGCTTTGTTGGTACTGCTACTTCCACACTGTAGAGCTGATGTGGGGCAACAAAGCACACACACCTACAAAAGCAACACTGGTCTTCACTACAGCCATACCTCTGGTAAGATGAACTGTTCCACAGGCTTGTACCATAGCTTGTTCACCTGTATGCCACAGCTTGGAGGACTAAATCGAGCGATGAAAAGGGCCTCCTGCAAGATGGGTAGGGAGGGATGAAAAAACAAAGACAATATTTCCTGTTATATACTATATATGCAACAGATCTTCAGACACTGTATCGGTTTGTCAATAAATCCACAAAGCCACCAATCATGCTCACTAGTTGAATCCCTAGAGCTGTAAAACGAATAATATAATAATTTAATGACCATGGCAATAGCACTAGAAAACTTTGATGGTGCTGGTGAGATGGTTTATCGGTTAAAAGTCCTTGTTACTCTTGCAGAGGATCTGGAGTTGGTTCCCAGCACCCACATGATGGCTCACAACTAGCTGTCTGTAACTTCAGCTTCATGGAATCTGATGCCCTCTTCTGCATTCTGTGTGCATGAGGCACATATGTGGTACACAGGTATACATGTAGGTAAAACACTCATAAACATAAAGTAGATTTAAAAAAAGGAAAAACCTGAAAAGTTGTTGAAAGTTTTGGTCAAATTTTTGTCTTAAAAAATAATAAAATTGGGGCTGGAGAGATGGCTCAGCGGTTAAGAGCACTGGCTGCTCTTCCAGAGGACCTGAGTTAAGTTCTCAGCAATCATATGGTGGCGTATAACCATCTATAACAGGATCCGATGCTCTCTTCTGGCCTGCAAGGTATATATGCAGAGCACTCATATGATGGGGGAGGACCTTCTGTGTATATGTCTGTCTTATTAGTTGATAAATAAAGCACTGTTGGCCAAGAGGGAAGCAAGTTAGGTGGGACTAGAAGAGAAGGAGGATTCTGGGAATATAGGAAAGGGGGAGAGTCACTATGTGGTACCAGGAAGAGAGGACTTGTAAGGCTGGCGTCCTCGGTAAGATTTTTTTTGTTGTTGTTGTTTTTTTTTTTTTTGAGACAGGGTTTGTTTCTGGCTTTGGAGGCTGTCCTGGAACTAGATCTCACAGAGATCCACCTGCCTCTGACTCCCGAGTGCTGGGATTAAAGGCATGCGCCACCAATGCCTGGCAGGATAAATCCTTATAAAAATATATAGATTAGTAGTTATGGTTGATAATTAAGACTGAGCTAGCAAATAAGAAATCCTAGTCATTGGCCAGCAGCATTGTAACTAATATAAGATTCTGTGTGTTATTTTGGGGCCCTAAAGCAGCAGCAGAACCCAGGCAGCTGGGGGAAAGAGTTATTGTTACACTCATACATTAAAAAAAAAAAAAAACAAAAAAAAAAAAAAAAAAAAAAAAAAAGTCTATCACAGGAGAGGGAGGAGCTGCTGAGGTCCTTAACAGTGGGGCTACCTGTAGCTAATGGCTGTAAGGGAGACTCACTTTCCTTTTAAAATATGACCACTGGTAGGTTCCCCAGGGTCCTCTAGTAAATGTCCTTACTTAATATAGTGTCTTCTAGTTTCACTCTGTTCATTTTCCTGCAAATTTCATTTTTCTTTATGACTGAGTAAAATTCTATTGTACATATGTACCCCATTTTCATTATCCACTCTTCTGTTCCTTGCTATGCAAAAAGAGCAGTGATAAACATGGATGTGGGAATATTTTTCTTCAGTAGGTTGTAGAGTCCTCTGTGTATGTGCAGGAGTGGCATAGCTTGATCATATGGTCACACTGTTTTCCACAGTGGCTGCCTTAACAGCTCCTCTTCCATCACATCCTCACCTGCATTTTCTGTTGTTCTTGATACTGACCATTCTAAATAGGGTAAGATGGAATTTGTATTTCTCTGATGGCTAAAACACTTAAAAAAAAAAAAAAAGGCCGTTTGTTTTTCTTCTTTTGAGAACTGTTCAAAACACTGGTCATTTTTTGACCGGCAGGTTTTTTGTTTCGTTTTCCTAGTTCTTTATATATTCAAATATTAACCCTGAAGTATAGCTTGCAAAGACTTTTCTCCCATTTTGTAGTATGCTCATTCTGTTGATAAATTATTTTTTTATAATTTTATTAAGCTATACATTTTTCCCCACTCCCCATCCCCTTCACCCTACTTCCCATGCTCCCAATATACTCAGGAGATCTTATCTTTTTCCCTTTCTTTGGTAAATCCAGGTATGTCTCTTTTAGGGTCCTCTAGGTTCACTGGGTTGTGGCCTGTAGGCTGGTTATCTTTTGCTTTATGTCTAATATCCACTTACAAGTGAGTACGTATTACATTTGCCTTTCTGGGTCTGGGTTACCTCACTCAGGATAGCTTTTTCTAGTTCTGTCCATTTGCTTGCAAATTTCAAGATGTCATTGTTTTTACCACCAAGTAGTACTCCATTATGCAAATGTACCACATTTTCCTTATCCATTCTTTGGCTGAGGGACAATTTCTTTTGTTGTTAAAGTCTTTTAGTTTCATGTAGTCCCATTTGTCAATTCTTGAGGGTGTTTCTTACGCTAACAGGGTTCTATTCAGAAATTTGTGGCTTATGTAACAAAAGTCCTGAAGTACTTATGTCCTAAAATGTTTTTCCAAAGCATTTTACAATTTTTAAATCAAGGTTTCTGATCCAGTTTGAACTGATTTTTTGTGCAAGGTAAAAGATATAGATCTAATTTTATTCTTTGGCAAGTGGTCATACAGTTTGCCAGCACTACTTTTCAAAAGATTGTCTTTTCTCAAGCTCATGTTTCTGACACCTTTGCTAATGAAGCTATAGGTGATTTAGGTTGGGAATTTCTAATCTAGTCCAACATTTTTTTGTACATATAACTTATCTATCCATGGTAATCTCTCTCCAAACCAGCATTACAATGCAACATATATAACTTCTACCAATACAGGAAGATGGAAATCAACCAACCATGGAGAATGGTCCGGTCTTTCAAACTACTTGGGGCCACAAGGAAAAGCTGTTCTAAAAAGAAAAATTAGAAAAATCCTAGCCAGGCAGTAGTGGCACAGCTGGGTGGTGGAGTACGCCTTTAATCCCAGCACTTGGGAAGTGGAGGCAGGTAGATCTCTGGGAGTTCCAGGACAGCCAGGGTGACACACAGAGAAACCCTGTCTAGAAAAAAACAAAAAAACAAAACAAAACAAAAAAAAAAACAAAAAAATCCTGTATATACCAATACACACCTCCTGCTCTGCCTGATACAACTTGACTGTGATGTTCCTTTGAAAGCCAATGTCATTGGCATCATAAAACACTCCAAGACTGGTAATCACAATTGGGTAGAGAACTCGGAAGCTCACGCTGACAACTCGGTCTTCAGAGAGTCTGGGTGAGGAGGCTTCTTCAGGAAAGCTGAAAGCCTCAATTTCCTGATTCAAAACTAAACAAACAATAAGAATAGGGTTTTATATTATCAAGTAAATAAAATCCAGACTTCTGCACACACACAATGTAAACACACACACATCCCATAAGTGAATACTAGATATAAGTCAATTGCAGGCATCTACATGGAAGGACTGGGTAAACATAATAAAAACAGTACTTTACTATAGTAAAAATGATTAGGAAATTTGATCTTGCTCTGCAAATTCTAAAAATGCTACCTCTTATTAAGCAATTTAAAAGTTTATGGTATGTAAGGAAACCAGTGCAGTACAGAGGGAACAGAAATCACTGCAAACAACACTGAGAAACTGGCTGTAGAATATTTCTGGCAGATCAGTAAATCAAGCAGATTCTGAGCACCCACTGTATCACTGTCCATCACATCTACACCTTACCACTTCCCTCTGTGGGAGGAGCATTATGTCACTTGCCAGCTAAGACACTGTAACCCTAAGGGACACTTAAGTAATCATCCCCAAATCACAAAAAGTGACAGACACAGGAATCAGACCCAGGTTTAATGACTCACAAGTCAGTGCTCTTTTTAGTGGTTTATCAGTTCCCCCAACTGTCCTTTTCTTTTCTCCAGTGCTGGGAACTGAACCTGGGCATCACTCTACCAGAGAGCTATATCCCCAGCCAATAGTCCTTTTCAAGTAACTTTCCTAATTACTATAAATGAACCAGGCTAGATTAGATGATAAAACAATATGGCTCATTTGTCAAAACTAGTCTGAGAAATATAAAACCTACTTTAAAGGCAAAGTTCTCTGTAGTTTTTAGAACTATGGTTTTCAAACTCTGCTGACAATCCAACCAGTTAAACAAATGTGTACACACACATTTACTTATAAAGTAAATACACAGACTGTAGTCAGTCTGTACAATCATATCAGGGCTGTGAATCCAATTCAGTGGTGTAGTTGCACATGTCCAGGACACACAAGGCGCTGGGGTTTATTCCTGGCACTGTGAATCTCATTGAAAATCACTGGATCCCACTCCTCAAAAGAATACAACAACATACAAAATTCTGCTTTGACAGAATTTCCAAGTTTACTGATATTCTAAAAAAGACAGCCCTGCTTTACAACAGATCTAGAATATGGCTCAACCTTATGCATATAGGGCATTTAGGCCCCTCACTTTAGTCCCTAAAAGCTATCTTATACTTAAGACAGATTTTCAGTATAATGAAGAAGATTAACAGGAAATGCTGCCTCCTTGTCAATAGACATGAGCAGAAGGGGCAAAAAGGGACAGATTCTGGATGACAGCAAGTTTTTCTCTTTAATATATTCAGGAGACAAAAGGCATCCAAAGTAGAAAGAAACATGTTTATTAAAAACAGGAGGTCAAGTCATTCCTAGACGTTCTTTACCTTAAACAAATGTACCTTAAGTTCAAGCTACTTGGAGCAGAAAATCTTGTTGGCTTTGACAGCAGCTATCAATCAAACCTTCTAGACACGCAGCAGCAGGATTATTGTTCATGACTTTTAGGTACTGAAATAACCCAAATGCTCAGGGGGTAAAATAAGATATATCTACATTAAACAGTGCAATTTTAAAACTGTCTATGTATTAAATGATGGAAGTGGTGTATTAATGGAGCATCTAATGCACTATCAAAAACACTTAAGATGGTAAGTTCCAGATAACAAGTGGTAGGGATGGGACCAGGGCTGCACACTGCTAGGCAGGCACTGTCAGTGAGCTATACCTCCAGTCCTGTGTAATGTTTCCATATGTGGTTGTTTGGTTTTAATTTCTGTAAGCTACTACATTAGCAACAACACATCTGATGAAGCTTATGATCCTTTGGCTCTTTACTAAAAGTTAATGGAACATCTGAGAAGAACACAATTATAGGTAAAATACTGTCTACAAACCCCTGCTTTATTACATAGACTAAAATATATACTCAATTTATTTAAAAGGTAGACTGGAATCCAATCTATGAAAAAGGCAGGCTTTTTAGTACAAAGTATTTATGGAGTCCCAGGACCTATGCTCAATGTTTTATCATTTACTCCACCCTTGTACTAGGCTTGAGGGAGGCCGCTTTTTTTTTTTTTTTTTTTTTTTTTTTTTTTTTTTTTTTTTCTCTTTTTTGATAGCATCACACTTGGCAGATCAGGCTGATCGGGAACTCATCATGTAGTCAGGTTGATCAACTTGTGGCAATATTCCTGCTTCAGCCTCCCAAGAGCTGCAATTGAAGGCATGTGCAACTGTACCCTCTATTCATTACTTACAGATAATGAAATGTAGGCTCAGGAGGCCACAGAGCTAGAATGTGGCAGAGCTGGCTTTAGAGCCACAGATTAGCAGCCCATACCTGTGTATTATCATACTTCAAAAAGTGAGATATAGTTAACTATGAAGATCTGATAAACTTTAAAATACCAGAATCCAGACCCAGCACACAAAACAGAGATTTGGAAAGCCTCCTTTAGAACTGTAGCTGAACACAACAGGAATGTCTATAAAACAGTAGTAACAGCCTCCTTACTAACACAGAAACCTCATTAGCATCAGCTTTCTGCATCCTCACCTAGATTCTCACAAACTTAATTCTAAGGAATATAAAATAATTTTTAACATTCCAAACTTTTATCCTATTTCTTTTGCAGAAGCTTCGTCGATAGTCAACAACTTTTAACTTTCTAAAATTGCGCTATCTATCTATCTATCTCTCTCTATATATATATATTTCGTCTTGATATATTTATTGCCCAGGCTGATTCCTAAGCAGAAGTGGTCTTCCCACTTCTGGTTCCCCAAAGCTGGGATTTCAGGCATGTGCCACATCACCTGATTTTCAGCAATAATTCAAAATCAAAGTCAACTCACAATATTTGTATGATGGTATCAGAAATTAACTGGTAAAAAATCAACAATTTTCCAAAAATTCAAAATTCAGCCAACTATGAGTAATCTAATTCTCTAGATGACGTAAACAATCCGAGAGACTCCCTGAGTGACTAGTCAGTCTGTCAAAAAGGCTGGAACACAAATTTTGTTGATAAATATTTAGTTGGTTAAAAATATACTCTCTCCTATAAAACTTAGCATCTTTTATTTGCCAACAAACATAGGCAGCAGCCTGAACGCACCTGGATTGGTGATGTTGAGCAGTCGGCAGGAGTAAGGATCCTCCCTGTCTTCCACAGGCACTTCACAGCCACGAGCACCTATTATGAACTTCACAAGCACACTGAGAGATGGGTTGGCATTAACGTCAGTTATGGATCTTCACTTCACACATACCCATTTCCTCATGTTCATTTCAGAACTTTCAGACACTAGCATTAATGAGGGCTATTCTCTAACTTTATTTTTCTGGCCTAACAAAAGGGACATGCCACTCAAGGGCTGCTGCTACTATTGAATGACTTTATATGAACCCTCTTCTGTAGTACAAAAGCAAGTGTAAATGTTTGGCCTGGTTACCAGCAAATGTTCATGCCAGTTAGCAGCAGATCACAGTAATATCAGCTTCTCAGAAACTGCATTTGGAATTTTCCTTTTCTCTTGCTGGACTATTTCTGTCAGAGAAGGTCCCTGCTGCTTGTGTCACTGTTTACCTTGTTACCTGTTTCCCAGGGTTTTGCTCTTAATCTCTTCTTGGTCTGCTCATTCTTACACCCTATCCTCTGACAACATTAGTTTATTCATAGGGCTGTAACTGGTACAAGAATGATTCTTGACCTAGCACATCTGGTGTAGACTCATCCTCAGCGTAATCAATCCTGAAGATGACCCACCCACAAGGAGCTGAGTTCTGAATTGCTGGCTTATGAGAGCTAGGTATCAAATTTTCAGGAATTTTGTAAATGGTTAAGTACAGTTTTTATTAAATTACAAAAACAAATAGATTTAAAACAAGGGAATATTCAAGTTCTCCATACTTTTATCTGTTTGATGGGATATTTATCTTTTCACCGTTCTACACCTAATTTTGACACAGTAGTTGCTTGAAATTGGCCTTGGTGAAATACTTAAACCACAGAAATCAATAAACAATATAAATAAGGGTGGACTTCTTGTATCACTGTTTGTCTAGCCTGAAAGTATGAGAAAATGTTAGTAATGCAGATTAAGACTAAGCAGAATAGATCTTCAGTCATTACTTTGTGAATAATACTAAAAAAATCTGAACAGTTCTTCAATAGCCAAAAACTATTAGCTGATTCAAAGAAGTCATTGACTTCATTGACTGAGAAAAAAGTACTGGCATATCTCAGTAAATACTTTAGTTTTACTTTAAAAAGTTTTTTGAACAATTTATTATTTTTATGTGTAGGGGTATTTTGTCTGCATGTACATCCATGTGCTACATGCATGTAGTTCTCATGGAGGTCAGAAGAGGGTAGTGGGTCCCCTGGGACTGATTTCAGACAGTTGTGAGCTGCCATGTTGGTGCTAGTAATTGAACCTGGGTTCTCTGAAAGAGCAGGTATTCGATGAGTCATATCTCCAGCCTTAAGTCTAATTCTGTAACTTAAAATATTCACCTCAGAGCTATATACCTTTGCTGATTCCAGCCACAAGTTCATTACAGACCTAATATCCTGGCATGAATTAACTGGCCAAATAGAATTTGCTGATTTACAAGCTACTGCATGAATGTTATTACCTATCAATTATGTGCTACAATTTTTTTTATCAATAAAATTATGATAAACCTATGTACCTATAAGCACTCTTTTACAGAGAGGCATCCAATAAACATTTACAGAGAACACCACAGCCTGTGGGCTCCTGAGCTCAAACACATTCTCAACTGAGTTTCTTTCTCTTCTCATCCAGTCCTCAGCACCCTGACTGCGGATTTCTCAACTATCCACATCAGACAGCTGGCAGCCATTGACACACCTCCTGTTCCTTCTACATCCTCTGATGAGATCACCACTAAGGAGTCACACTCCTCAGCAGCTCTTGTCTGAACAAGTCAGCTTCTACACAACTGCTTGCTATGAGCTAAGCAGGTCACTGCTGACTTCTCATAGCCACAGGCCTTTCTTCTTTCCCCCTCTCTAACAGTCTTCTTTCTCTTTCCCCTTCTTTCCTAGGCTTCCCTCTGCTATAATACTCACCTTCAACAACCCCAGGTTACATATGATTGATGCTTCTCAAACACCCCAGGCTATTTAAAAAAGACCGATTTTATCATTCTGTCTGACTGTCTCTGTGTGTGTCTGCACGCACAAAAGCCTGTGCTGACTGTGAGTGTGCCTGCAGCATCCAGAAAAAGGAGCTGATTTCCTGGAACTGGAATTCCAGGTGGCTGCAAGGCACCTGATGAAGATTCAGGGATCAGAACTCAGGTTTCTCTGGAAGAGCAACAAGTACTTTTAACTGCTGCGCCAGCTCTCCAGTCCTATTCCAGGCTATTTTACATGTATCTTCATTGTAGCACATACTGTATTATCACACCTAGTTCTATCAACTAAACTTCAAGGCCCCTAGACTCCAACTCTACTGTACCTTTGTGTTTTAACACACATACTACACAACCAGCTTAGAACAATAAAGTGACAAATTACAGCCTATTAGAGCCTTAGAATCAAACATAGTCCTCATAAATAACACTGAGTTTGACTCCTTTGGTAAAACACAAGATATCAAACAATACCATAACCACAGAATGCATCGACTTTTACTACTGGCCAGCTAGGCAGAACGCCTTATCTAGACAATTAGCATTTGTAATAAAGTTGCAGACATACATCAATGAATATGCTAAGTAAATTATACATACTCACCATTTTTTTTTTTAGCTATCTTAAATAACCTTACTAAATTCACATAACTATTACACCTTAGAAAGTTATTTTTGGGCTTCAATCTGTTCTCATATAGACAATCCATTATCTTCAGAAAACAAATACAAGCTTACTACATTTAAATAACTGCTACAAAGGCAAATGAATTACTGATACAAATTATATTGATTATTTCTAGTTCTGATGTATTCATTCAACAGTTGTTGAGTACCCCACTCTTAGTCAGGCTAGGTTCTAGATACTGGAATTCTATTAGTAGGATAAACAAAACAAAACCAAACAAAAACGAAGAGTCTACCTCCTAGTGGGGAATGATGAATAACTTACAAATGCATTATACGTGCCAGTTGGTAATATATGTAATAATAAAATCAAGCAAGGGAAGACAGTAATGAAGAGGATTATTTAATCTGACACCATTTGCTAGGGTAACATATACCAGAGACTTGATTTGATGGAACGCTACCATGAACACATTTAAAGAAAGGGTGGTCTAATCAAGAGCAAAGGCTCTGAAGCAGAAGCTTGCATAGTGTACTGGGGTGGGGGTATGGGGAATGGAAAAGGAGACATGTTTTTCTCACAAACAGAACACAGATATTGTATGTGTATGTGTGTCACACGAATGCAAGAGGATGAACTCTTTAGGGTGAGGGACTAATAGAAACAATGAGAGGGTGAGGGAGGGAGGGAAGGAGCGAGGGAGTGTGTGTATGTGGGGAGGAAACACGAATGCAAAATGATGAACTCTTTAGGGTGAGGGACTAATCGGAACAATGAGAGAGTGAGGATGAGTTCGAGCAAAGTACAATGACAAACTTATGAAAATGTTATAATAATGAAAACCACCATTATTTTGTATGCATTAGAAAAAAAAAATCAATCCTGGTGGCATGAGGGAAACACAGTCAAGTGACTTACATAGGAGAAGTGATGTAGAAAAGGTCAATGACTACTATGATTTGGGTTTTTTATTTTATTATATTTATTTAGAGACAAGCGTCAAGTAGCCAAGACTGGCCTCAAACTCAGTAATCAGCTCAAGCTTCTGTCTATTATGCCTGATAGGATTTTATTCTAAGAAAGAAGAGACAATAGACACAGGCAGGTGCACACATGTGCATGCACACACACACATATACACACAAGTATCAATGGAGAGGTATGAATAGAGAATGAACAAAATTTGACTAATCTTAAGAGGATCATTCTGGTCTAGCAGCTATATGGAAAATATAATGTGGAATATGACTAAGATAAAAGCCAGCAATCCATAGAGGGGAACTTCTGGCACAATCCAAGTGACAGGTAAAGGTAGGATAGGTAAGGAAGGCAGTGGTAAAGGGTAATGAGAAGTCTGATTCTGGGTATGTCCTAAAAGCTGCACCAAGAATATGTGAATGGTTGGTGTGGGAAGTGAAAGCGAGAAAAACCAACCTAACACCATGATTTTGGTCTGAACAGTTGGTGGCACATTCTTATTGGACATGACAGCAAAGATACTGGAATTCATTGTCTGGAGGTAGTTCTGAGGCCATTCCTTGCTAGGTAACAGGATTTTATTGTTGCAGTCATATACTAAGGAAACCTATCAGGAAGAGGAATGGAAGCTGCCATGAGGAAGATAGGAAATCCATACATGTTCACTGTCAGTGTCAAGAAAATTCCCAACTGCAATTTACCTTAACAGCCAACTAAGAAAGTGACAGTTTAATATAACCCCAAGAGGACTTTCTCTGCTACAGCCTCAGTGTTTTCCCATCCTAAGCAGCTCAGCCCCAGGCCTCTCTCCTCAGGTAGTCTGTCCTCACTGTAGTCTTAAGAGATGCTCACACTGAGAAGGGACTCAGGTCCTTAGTATATGACTGCAATACTAAATCCTATTATGTAGTAAGAGTAACTCCAGAACTCCAGCTCCAGTAGTCTTTCCCATCATGCCCAATAAGAACTTGCCATCAACTGCTTAGATCAAAATCATGGTGTTTTCCTTGCTTTCACTCCCCACGCCAACCACTCATGCCCTTACTCCTGACCAACAGCTGGGCTGCCTACTATCAGCAGGAGAAGCAGTGCAAAACCCAGTTCTGGGAGGGTGGGCAGGAAAGAATATGGCATGCCATGTACACCATACATTATACCAATAAAAATAATACACAACTGAATAAAGTGAGGTTATTAAAAATACTCTAGGATGCCAACCCAAGAACATATTCTTTCAAGTGCTTTCTGGCTTAAAATCTTGATAAAACTTACTTCTAAGACTCAGAAGAAAGTGGCCACTTCTCCCAAAAGAGCCATGTTTCTAAATCAGTCTCTCCTTTAAAAAAAATTTATTTTACATGCATGAGTGCTTTGCTACATATATACCTGTGTACCACATGTGTGCAGTGCCCAGAGAGATGACAGAAAGGAAATTAGATCCCCTGGAATTAGAGTTACAGACAGTTGTGAGCCACCACATGGGTGATGGAAACTGAACCTAGATTCTCAGGAAGATGGCCAGTGCTCTTAACCACCAAGCCATCTCTCCAGCCCCAATATCTGACTTTTAAAACTAAGAGGTTTTTTTCTTGTTTTGTTTTGCTTTTTCAATTCTTGAAATGGGCAAAGGAGTAATCTAGAAGACCTACCGTTGACTTAAAGTAGGATGTTGCAACAAATGCTTCAACCAGGTGTTTCTTATCACATTTCGAAGTTCATGGTTATTTCGAGCTGATAACACACCAACTACCACATCGTAGTGACTAAATTTCGACTCAGGAAATAAGGCTGATTGACCTATAAATAAGCAACACAGATTACAAGTCAGTCACAACACCTCATCTACAGTAAACAGCATATTTCAGCAGTTTATTACAAATAAAACATGCTTATGCTTCTAGAACACAGATAAATAGAAACAAAAATTTTAATTTCATTTTAAATTTAAAACAGCCCACAAACTCAGCATCCAAAAATATGTACAGCATACAAGCATATAGCTTTTGGTACCTCATAAGTATGTATCTACATATCTATGCTAGCATAAAAACGATTTTCAAAACAAAGAAGTTTATAAGAATCAGCTGTGGCCCCCAAAGTGAGTGGCACTATTAGGAGCTGTGGCTTTGTTGGAGTGGGTATGGCCTTGTTGGAGTAAGTGTGTCACTGTGGGGGCTTTGAAGTCTCATATATGCTCAAGATACTGCCCTGTTCTCAGACCACTTCCTGTTGCCTGCAAGATATAGGACTTTCAGCTAATTCTCCATGTCTGCCTGCACACCACCATGTCCCACCATGATGATAATGGACTGAACCTCTGAACTGTAAGCCACCCCAAATAAATGTTTTCCTTTCTAAGAGTTACCCTGGTCATGATGTCTCTTCACAGCAGTAAAAGCCCTAAGACGTTGTGGTGTTTTGAGACAGGGTTCTAACATGTAATCCAGACTGGCATTAAACTCCTACATAGGTAAAGACTGGTTCTGAACTTCCAATTCTATTACTTTCATTGTTCCAATACTGGGATAACACGAATGAACAACCATACCTGGTTGAATATACGTTACATAACCCCTTGAGTGTCAGTTTGTCTTACACATAAAATGACTTCAGTATTTCTCATAACTATGAAAAAATTAAGTGAGATAGTGTGTATAAAGGTCCTAGCTTAGGACTAGTATACATAAGTGATAGTTATTAAGTTTGGGGGATTTAGTCAAAGGTCCTCCATTGTAAGACATTATCACTACACACATTCTCTCTCTCTCTCTCTCTCTCTCTCTCTCTCTCTCTCTTCTCTCTCTCTCCCTCTCTCTCTCTCTCTCCCTCTCTCTCCCTCTCTCTCCCTCCCTACCTCCCTCCCTGCTAAAACTTTTACTACAAACCAAATGTTCTAAAGAATGAAATAGGAGAAGCAATATTTTCAGTAAAAACCAAAAAAAGTCCTTTAACAAACCATATATACGACTCACTTTTTACTGTTGTAAGATTTAATGGGCAGGATTCTATTTTAATTTAAAAAATGTTCATCCTTAGAAATATGACAGAAGAGAGGCTATATCTTTCTATTTATTGCTAGTTTTTAAGCTTAAGAGCTACAAGCTTATACAGAGTTCTAAAAAGGATTCTATTTCATCTTTCTCCAGTGTTGAAAACTGATTCAAAATGTTTTTAAAAGTAAATTACTGAGGACCAGGAATCTTCACTATATTAAATGTAATGTTTTTATATGCTATAGGCACTAGGTGGTCAGTCTAAAATGCAGCAGAAAACATGTTGATGCCTTTTCAAAAAGAATTAGGAGACAGATTCTTTCACTACAATAATTTAAAAGATATTAATTACACTATAGCAATTTTAATATTGTTAAGAATTTTCATGTAGGGGCTGGAGAGATGGCTCAGTGGTCAAGAGCACGGACTGCTCTTCCAGAGGATCGGGGTTCAATTCCCAGCACCCACATGGCAGCTCACAACTGTCTGTAACTCTAGTTCCAGGAGATTTGACACTCATACATGAAGGCAAAACACCAATGCACATAAATAAAAATAAATAAAAAAATTTAAAAATTCCATGTAGTTAGCCCTGTTTTCTACAAGATAGATTATAGTCAATATATTTGTAAAAAAGCACTTCAATTCTAAGAGATATTTAGCCGGGTGGTGATGACGCACACCTGTGATCCCAGCTCTCAGGAGGCAGATCTCTGTGAGTTTGAGGTCAGCTTGGTCTACAGAGGTAGTTCCAAGACAGCCAGGGCTACACAAAGAAACCCTGACTCAAAACAAACAAACAAACAAACAAACAAAAAAACAGAAGAGAGATTTGTATTGCTTTATCATCAATCTTGTACCAAAATTAATTCCATAAACATAGAATTTATCTTCAACATAAATTTGCATACTCATGAATTAAGCTTGTCCACAGTTCTTGAACACCAGATATTAACACAGTAAGTACCACATATAAGCTATCTTTTCTTCTTCTCATGTGCTGGGTACCTTGTGCATGCTACCAGCACTCTACTACTGGCCTACATCCCCAGCCCTACAGTAAGATTTAATGCTCACACCATGACATTTAGGTACTTACTAAGCAAATAAGACAATACAGAGAATTCAGTACCTCACCCTAAATATGAGATTTTTAAAAATCCACAGACCAAGAAGCATCTTTTTCTCAGATACTTAACAATTTATCAAGAGCTATACCTATTGCTAGAAATAACTATAAATGAGTCAAATTTGGAATATAATTGAAATGCTCGTACAAAACTGCCAATGATATTAATAGTAAGTGTACTCTAGTTACAAGATGGAGGCCATATGCTAACCACTCGGTCCTGACAGGGTCCCACAGCTAAAATAAGGCATTGCCTTAGTTAAGCAAATTGTCTTCCATGTGCCTCTGTGACCTAATCAAGAGAAACCAGCAGAAAAAGTCTTTTTAGACAGGGTCATGAGTTTGTTCAGAAAATGACCTTGAACTCCTGATCCTCCTACCTCCACCTCTCAATCACCAGCATTACATTTGAGTAACACCATATCTAGCTAGAATTTTTAAATTTTTAAAACTACCTGTTTTTAAAATGTCTTTCTAAAAGATTAAACATCTGAAAAAAGGCAAAAGTCACATCTAACCCAGGCTTCGTTAATCTGACATCAGAAAATAAGGTTTCTACACACATACACACACACACAAAAATTTCAGAATAATTCAAATATCTATGAGTGCCAAATAGTACCATTTCTGGTTCTGGTCAAAGCAAATCATTTACATAATTTAACCACTGCCTCAAACTTTTCATAAAAACTTTCTCAAACCTACCCCTTTCTAGGCGCTAAATCTAGCTTCCATTTAGAATGTAAGCCTTTACTGAAGCTAGCTTCTCCATGATCATCCAGATTACTTCTGGTTTTGTTTTAAACAACTAAATATATAAAAAGATAACCATTAGCATGTGACGATTCTGACCATTAGCTCGATTAGCTGTAAACTACTTTTTGATCTTATTTCAATGCCTCTGTTCAATGTCAGTTCTGATGTCTACTTCTAATCCCCACCTAAGCCACTATTCAACTGCTTCTCTTTGAAGGCATCTCTCTCTCTCTCTCTCTCTCTCTCTCTCTCTCTCTCTCTAGTGTTTCCTGGCTTTCTAGAAAATTTCTACTCCCAGATAAGTCAGATTAAGAGAAACAAGTTCTTCTACCACACATGCCAAAGTAAACCCCCAACCGACTCCTCATATAAAAGGATACACGATTCAGGTGGGTGCTTTAAGTACCTAGGTAGGTTAGCCAGCCACTTAGGCTCATAGCTCCTCTCACCAGTTTCACTCTATATACTCATCACACTGTTACACGGTACAAGCATAGGAAACATAGTTTTGATTCCAGTATCTAGAAACATGAAAGGAAGACAGCTAAGACATAAGCACTAAAGGACAAGTCGTAAAAGAAGGCAACAACCTCTGGGAGGAAAAAAAAAAAAAAGCCCAACTAGAAATCAAGTTTGAATTCCAGCAACTATACACTAGATTTCTTCTACATCTGAAGTGACAAACGTCTTCTTATAAGGTAAACAAATGATAGGAACTTCAAGAGAATGCTGACAATGATCTCAAGACAACAGCTAGTCTGTTGGTGGGACTGTACTTTCACAGGGCATACTGGAGTCAAACTTGTGGCACACGCCTTTAATCTCAGCACTGGGAAGGCAGAAGCAGGTGGACCTCTATGAGTTTGAGGCCAACCTGGTCTACATAGTGAGTTCCTGGAGAGAGAACTTGTCTCAAAACAAAACAAAGCCCACAAAAACAAACTCTGGGCACACTTTGAATATATATTCAACAATTCAGGAAGAGTTTGCTGACATTTCATTCCTTAATGCTGTCCATCTTGTTTTTTGAGGCAGGCTCTCTCACTTTTAACTGTAAGTCATTGATCCATCTAGGCTGGGTGGCCAGTAAGCCACAGGGTCCTCCTCTATCCATTTCCTAGGTGCTAGGCTTGGATTACAACTGCATCATCATGCCTGCCCAAGATCTAATTTAGATCTGAATGCTTGTTGTAAGACAAGCATTTTACCAACTGAGTTAGATTCCCAGTCCCATAGTTTTCCTTTTTAAAATTAACATGATTGAGAGTGCTCAGCTTGTAAAAATATATTAGCCAGCAAGTCACATGCCTGAAAAGAATGTGTATGAAACATCAAAAAAATTTTCAAATTACATTTTTCAAAACATGTATTATATTGAAAATCACGTAGAAGTACAGATCATGTTTCTTTCCTTTCACTTAAAAATAATTTCAACTTTTCCTTCACAGAACTTGTTTCCCTTTATGAAAGAAATATATTTAAATTATAAGGTCCCCATGGCATATAAACAGATGACATAGGTAGAAAAAATAGTATCTTCTCAATTTTAATCTCTTGATTCACTCATTCAAACCAAGCATTTCCTAGGTCTGCTGAGCTAATTGGCACAGGCATACAGGGAATAAGATCTCCACAATGACACAAATAATTACAACCCCAAGCAAGCATCCGAAGAGCAATGACTATTTTTATTAATAAGTAATCTCTCCCAAGAGTCTGGCAACCTGCTAAGCTTTGTGATGACCGTGGACATTAAAGTCTAAGGGATGTTGGCCTCAAAACTGATTTTTCAAAATAAACTTAAGAAGTCAAAAAACAAACAAACAAACAAAAAACCCACAAATGTATGCTCTTGGATGGCATCCATCACAGTCAGGCAGAAATATTGAAAATGAGGAAAAAATAAGAGTCCATCACAG